CGGTGCTTGGTGTGTCAACTGACCATGCACAACCCTTTCACCTCACAGTGGGTGCAACTCAGGGATGCTGAGATAAAAGGAGCTGCTTACACACATTTCACCTCATATTGGGCACTGATGGGACAGGAAGGCCCCCTCCGAGTGTATCAATATGGAGTTTGGAGGCAGTGAATTCTGCCTCCGTTTCCAGAGGCCCATCCATTGGCAACACTGTAAAGATTCCTTTGCAGTAAACAGGAGCTGAAGTGGGTGAAACAAAAAGATCTGAGCTGAGCAGCTCAGGTGTGCTAGGGTGGAGCAACATCAGAGACAAATCCGTCTCTCAGGTATAATACCATGGTAACCGACCACGGAGGGCTCATAGGTCAGAGCAGATTGCATCTGGTGAATACAGCATCTCTCTCCTGGTTTGAGCTTTCTATTGAGATCCTTTGCCCCTGGCTCTGGAAGGAGGGGAGGCTAGCTCCAGAATCAGGAACTGTTCTGCTATGGGGATGATGAGCAAGAGGGAGGACGTAGCGCACAAGCCTGACCGGCCTGTGTTCTAGCTGCTCATGGCCCATCAAGGGCTGTTTCTTCCCATGAAGATTAAGTATTCGCACATCAGTAAGGCACCTAGCACGATGCAGCCCTGAGACATCTCTGGAGCTCTGATGTATAATAATAAGCATGTAGAATTAGCAGCCAAAAACAGCAACAGACCATTCCGCTAGTTCTCCCATACTGCTGTCACTAGCAAGACTGGTTGATCAGCTAATCAATACATAACCAAGATAAGTTTGTGAACAGCGCCCTGCCATTGGCACTGCCTTGGGAGGAAGGCCTCTCGGTCCCGCCTGTAGCAGACTGTAGGTTTGCCTCTGCTGGGCTGCAATCCTTCGATCTACTTCAGGCAGTTGGCTTGGTGTGTGGGTGGCCTTTAGGCAGTCTACACAGCAATTAGATACTCAAGGCTGGCACCGAGCTGGACCTTTCAGGCTCAGGTTACAGCCTTAGCTCTGGGACTTTCTAATCTTACAGGGTCCTAGAGTCCAGACTTCCTCCAGAGTTCAAACATCTATTACACAATTCAACAGTCCCTTAGCCCCAGGAGCCTGCAACAGCTGGGATGAGCTAGCTGCTGGGTTTTAATTACAGCGTAGCTATGCCCTGATTGGCATGTGCTATACAGGATAGTTTTATCTGGTGGCCCCTTCTGATCGTAAGCTCCATGACCAGCTAAATTCCTGTTGCTCAGATGCTGAGCACAATTACATTCCAAACGTGCCCTCTTTGGGGAAGATATGCACACTCAACGGGCTCTGGGAAGATGGGCTCAGGTTTGAACACGCCAGTCCCGCACAGTTTTGAAGGAATGTTTTCAAAGCCAATTCACAGCTGTGTCCAGGTGGTAGAAAAGATGCAAGAGTCTCCGTGATTTTGCACCACACGAGATATTCAGGCTTAGTTTCCGTGGAACGAACATGCACCGTTAAGCCCCTGAGCAGGTCCAATTCGGCTCTATGGGTCTTGTGGCGCAGAGAGGAGGTTTTCAAAAGAAAATAAAGTTGCTTGTCAAAAGCACAAGGGGAGATGGGACTCACGGTGGAAAATTCCACCCTCAACCCTGGATCTTGCTGGATCTGAACCTTGGATAGCACTGTGAGTACCCAATGCTCTTTACAGATCTGTTAAAAAGCCAGGATTCTGCCACCAGGCATTTCCATCTAAAATAAAGAGACCACCTACCAGCGGTGAAAGTAACTTACAATGTCTTACAGGTACTGTCCTATCAAAACCCAGGGCCCTGCCATCTCTATAAATAGCTCCCTTCAGGCTTTGCTGCAGCTCAGCCAGCTCTTGCCGGAGCTGTGCACCAGGACACACCCGCTTACTTTCACCTCTGTCACCTGCCAAAGGACACTGCCCTTCTGATAAGTCCACCCCTCTGAGCCACTCCCTCCCGCAATGGGCCCTTTGAATGTCCCTGATCCAGCTCAGTCTAAACTGGTTGCGAGGGTTTTTCAAAACAATTACCTCACAACATGAAGCCTTGATTGTAAAGGTCCTGCCCGCCACTTTGTCTAAGGGAGGGGTTCCAACCAACTTCCACAGCCTGGGGTGGGAACTCCAGCTCACCCCTTTCCCTCCCAGGGTGGCCAGACCACAAACTGACTTTTCTAGTCCCCCCTCAAACCGAGGGCAGGGAACGTTCTAGGTTATTCCAGTACCTCCAATGGGTACCCACTTCCTAAACTCTCTCCATATCTCCCCACCAAGGCCTGATTGGGTCAAATTACCTACATTTTCCCCAGCCTGGGGAGAAGAGTTAGCGGTCTCTGAGCCCCATCTCTCTTTAGAGGGCCAGCCAACTTAGGACATGTCCCCAAACCAAATGATGCAGTGAATCCTTGGTAACAGATAGGTTTAACATGCTATTTCCTCCTTTATCAGATGCTACACGGAGGACATCAGTTTGCATCATGTAATTGTGTGAGTCTAGCAGGAGGGGCCCAAGGATGTGGTAACATGACATCACAAATCAGGATGTATGTGCATTGGCTGCTCCATGCCTTAGGGTCAGGCTGAAGTTTATATACCCATCAACAGAAAGACCAGATTTAGGTCACTTATACATATGCTAATTCCAAGACCATTGCATTCACAGTATCACAGATCCACTCACCACAGTGGCACCTCCTGCTGGCCATCCTGGGGGTTCGCTGTGCTTGGCAGTGCCTCTCAGCTGTTTTCTCCCCAGGAACACCCACCTCACGCCAAGGACTCCAGCATCCTCTTCATGACTTGGCCCACCAGCTGGGTGACCAGCCACATTTCCTCTTCCAGGGCTACGGAAAGGTCCGTCTATACAAACAAACCCAAGCAGCCTTTTTCTGTGCTGTCCTGATGCTGCCACTCCCCAGGGCCAGGATGGGAATCCTCCCCATCCTCTACTTAAGGTTCCAGTCCAAATACTTACAGCTCAGCAGTTCTGGGTTCAGCCCCTCAGCCCTCACTACTTCTTCCCTGGACTGCTCCCTATCCACCTTCATCTCCCCCTTGGAGGACCAGCTCCAAACCAACTCACTCCTGTTCCCAGAACTTCCTGCAGCCTTGACCAGCCTGTCTGGTGCCAACTTCCTGGCTTTATAGGTCCCTGCACAGCTGAGCCTGCTCACAATCAACTCCCTGCTCCAAGACTCTCGCTCCAGGTGCAGCATGTGGAGTTGATTGACCTTCTAGCTACATTAACCCCTTCCAGTGCAATGTGGGGTGCACATCCCTTCACACATGCACAGAATTATATATAAAAAAAGACCATCAACAAATAAAGCTATTTTGTATTTTGTATTAACCTTTCAAGGTCCCTTCCAGTTCTAGTATATAGGTAATCTCCATTAATTAAAAAAAAAATTAATTTAATTTAGTATGTACCCCTAGGAGCTGCTTTGACCACGTATGATTTAAACCTGCAAAAAGAAACGCTGTGCTTTACCTAGCGTGGGACTCCTGGAAAGCGAGTGGTAAAGGCTCCCTCCCTTCTTTCTTCTAGGAAGCTATGTTTGAGTTTAATAAAGATCGGAAGTGCTCTGGAATCCAAAAGATATTTTACAACAATCCGGTCAAGGAATTGGGAGGATTTGGGACAGAGTCTGGCAAATTCATCTGGCCAACCAGCGTGACCACAACTCTGGATGGGGATCTGGCTGTGAAAGATAGTGGAAACAAACAGATCCAGCTCTTTGGCCCAGGGGGGTGCTATAAGAATGGGTATTCCTACGAACACGAGCTCAGAAGTGGCCCGGGGAATGTGGCATGCATGCAGCATGCCTGGTTGTGTGTGACTGATGGATCCAACACCACTGAGGTCTTCTAAAGATGGAAAGATGATCCACCAGCTGAAGTCTCCCGAAATGGACTGAGATCATTTATACAGGATGACAGTCCTGAAGGCCAATGATATTGCAGTGACACAGTGGACAGATGGGGGGAAGGTTCGCATTATTGGGGTAGAGTGGAGAATGAATGCCATCCTGAAGACGGATGTGATAGATGGCTTTCACAGACCAGAGCACATTGCAGTCAATCAGGTACAGTCTAACACAAACTACTAACAATGGTTACTTATATTGTGGCGGTTCCAAAAATGTACAATGTGCTTTCTAAACACAGGGAAAGACAGCGCCTGCCTCCAGTAGCTTGCAGTTTAAGATGAACAATAAGGACTATTTGTGAGTCAGAAGTTATGGAGCAAGGCAGCAGAACTGCAAGAGACATTCTGCAAGGCTCCATGCAAAGGCTGTGCTATTTCTCTCTGTGTTACAGCCATGTAACAATCCCCCCAACCGCCCAGTTTACACACCTCCCTAATCAGACAGGGTGACTACAGCAAAGCCAAACATTGCACCCAGCTATCTTGGTCTCTGTTCATTGCCTGAATCACAAACTATCCTTCCTCTCTTATACTGGAAGTTTGAAATGGTGCACAGCGTAAGAAGAATGTTTGAGCAAAGTGCATGATGAGGGGTTTTGTTGTGTGTAGTCCTAATGATCTCATTGAATGAGATGCACTGACTTTTCTTGAGCAGTCCGAGTGAGCTCCATTCATACTTTCTCCACAAATCCACCAGGCTACAGACAAGCTAAGTACTACTAGAATTCAAAGGATGTATGTTCTTTGCTGTTAATACATTTTCTTTGTGACTCAGTTATGCCTCCAAACTCTGGAATCGCTTTCTGGGTTAGAGTACCAGCAGTAAAGCCAAACCCTTTGGAATTCTGTCTGCTCAGAGTAGGGTACTATCCTTTTTCTTTTTGGGGTTCTTTTGGGGTTGTCCAAAAGGAATGTCTCATATCACGCTTTAAAAGACTGCTTACAAAACCCAAGGGATTTGGTGGCCCTGGCACATGAAACAACTCTGACCACAAAGTAGCGACAGAATAAGCACAATGTATTATATTAATAAAACCTTTTAGCAAACCAACAGCGGATTCATGCTGTGTCCTTAAACGAACAATTCTTTTAATCCAGAGATGTGGAATAAAACTAGTGATTTAAACCACCCTTTTATTTTTTTAGCAAGCTAAAATAGTAGCATTAGCGCAATATTAACATTGGTGTAGGAATGTGGGGACATCAAGAGATAATCTGTTCCATACCGTAGTCCCATGGTAGGATTATGTACTACTAAACCTGCAGGACTCCAGGCCATGCAAGATAAGATAAGACGAATGATGGTATCCTCAATCTTTAACATGGTCCTTCCTTTACAATCTTTATAACCTTGTCGTGTTCCCTAGGGAGAACAACACAAAACAATCAAGCTGGGTCACAAGTATGCGATATGTTAGAACATCAGAACGGTCATATTGGGTCAGACCAAAGTTCCACCTAGCCCAGTATCCTGTGCGGACAGTGGCCAATGCCAGATTGCCCAAAGAGAGTGAACAGAACAGGCAATCATCAAGTGATCCCTCCCCTGTCATCCATTTCCAGCCTCTGACAAACAGAGGCTAGGGACACCAAACCTACCCATCCTGGCTAATAGCCATTGATGGACCGAACCTCCAGGAATGTATCTAGTTCTTTTCTGAACCCTGTTAAACTCCTGGTCTTCACAACATCCTCCTGCAAGGAGTTCCACAGGTTGACTGTGTGCTGCATGAAGAAAAACTTCCTTTTGTTTCTTTTAAACCTGCTACCTATTAATTTAATTTGGTGACCCCTAGTTCTTATATTATGGGAACAAGTAAATCACTTTTCCTTATTCACTTTTGCCACACCGGCCATGGTTTTATAGACCTCTATCCTATCCCCGCTTAGTGTCCTCTATTCTAAGCTGAAAAGTCCCCATCTTTTAAATCTCTCTTCATGTTTTGGGGCAGTGGTTCTCAACCAGGGGTCTGGGGCCCTCTGGAGGACCACAAGCAGATTTCAGGCATCCGCCAAGCATGGCTGGTATTAGATTTGCTAGGACCTGAGGCAGAAAGCCAAAGTCACACAAGACTGCAGCCTGAGGCCCCGTGCCCGGCCACCTGGGCCGAAAACTAAGGCCTGGGACACTTAGCTTCATGGGATCATGGGACAACTGCCCTGCTTGCTACCTCCTGGCTTCTGTAGGCAGAAAAACAATTGTGGCCCAGCTGGGCCATGGGGATTTTCTAACATGTTGGGGGGGGGGCAGAAAATAAAAGGTTGAGAACCCCTGTTCTGGGGACTACTCTGGAACAGATTCCCAATGTACCCAATCTGAAGGAGACCATCCAAACCAGAGACTGAAATCTTTCCTGTCAGCTCTCGTGATTTTTTTTACATCAAAGGAAAATATCAGGCAAGCTTGCACTGCACCCTTCCATTGCCTGTTATGTCACCTACACAAAACAATCGGCCTCCTCCGCCTAGCACATCTTCAGTGAGGCGGCAGAAAGAGCACGGGTATTAATCTCACCTGGAGTAACTGCAAAGCTCACACTTGTTCCGGTAGGTTCTCCTGTCGCTCCCACAGACAGGGCGATAATACAACACACATATTGGTTTGAGGATGTAATGAACACAAACAGGCTGGGAAAATAGAACAAAAAATCATGCGCTCAGGATTTAATTGATTAGCAGTTCAGAGAGAAATCCAGAGTGTATCCAAGGCTCCATTCGACCCTGATACATACACACCCCAAGCAGCGTTCCCTCTAATTTTTTCCATTCATGTGTGGAATAAATTTTATTGTGTGCACATAGGTATGTGCAGATGTGCACCAGTAATAGAAACACATGCTGCTGGCTATGGGCACTGAGAGTGCATATTAATCTCTCAGGCAGGAGCCCAAATGATCAGCTTACAAGGAAACACGGACCCCGCAAGACATTTCCAACTGAATCCAGGAGAGAAGCAGAGGCTGTAACTCAAAGCATAATCTCAGTTGTGGTCACTAGCTCACACAGCACAGAGAGTGACAGAGGGAAAAGTAATTTTTACTGCTAAAAGTTATTTGAAAATAAAATGTACATATGATGCATACATTCCAATAAGATAATTTTATACACCCCTTGGATAGCAACAATCCAAGTGTTGTAAAAGAAATGGGGAAAATTTTCAAAAGCCTCACTGGTAGGTAGGTACCAGACTCCCACTGAAAAGTTAAGGGCAGTAGGTGCCCTTGTGTTTTTGAGACTCTCCCTTTTGATCGTTTTGGGGGGAAAGAGCTAAGTAGAGCACTTAACCGAAATAGGAGAAAACTCAGAAGTTCCACCTTAAGGGATGGGCAATGTGGAAGTGATTAAGACGGAAATGCTGCATGAGCAGATGTGGTCCTTGGTCATTAGCCAGGGAGTTTAAAATATCAGTATCTTTTTCTAAGTTTAAGCAAATATCAGTTGATGTTAAGCATAGCTAAGCCCTTTGGTACAGAATGTTTCCTTTGCTTTCTGCATCACCACTTCCATTTAGATCACAAAGGAAACTAAATTACCTGTCCAAAGCTGTACCAGATTCAATAGTTATTTATGTAACAATCAGATAAAAGCTTTCTCTCTGGTCTCCCTTTTCTGGAAAGGGGAGTGAGCCAAGCAGTAGAGCTATCTTGTGCACAAGGGTCAGGAACTGAATCTCCTAAACTTTTCCCTCTGGACACCACTTTGACTTTTGTCAGTGCAAGACATTTGAAAAATGTCACTTCCACTTTCAAAGCAACTAGAGTTAGAGCTGCATAAACCGATGTCTCCCCTGATTCACTGTTACAGCACTATACATTAATGCGAGGTTGGCTTTTTCCAGTCGCAAAGGTACTTGCTGCTATTATGCATAACTATTTCTCTCTCACACAAGGTAAATTTTGTAATTCCCCTGTGACAGATCTCATCTATGAATTACAAAACATATGGCAATGACTCACAGTCCTGCCGATGGATGGCAGTTGTAGAAACAGCAGAAAAATAGCAATCTGGAATATAGTAACCTTCCTCACTCACTGGCCCCTGCTGTCACCACTATACAAGATTTCCTCTGCTATGTGTGAGTACTGAAAAAATATACTTTCCACTCCCATGTGCTCTATTACAATACATACAGAAAACAGTAGACAGGGAATGGGCTGAACTTAGGCCTATGACAGTGAGCAACAGAGCTGAGTGAATAATTTGTAACAAATAGTTTTTTTCAGTTTTGCCTGTTTCATTGTCTGTGAATGGATAGTGATTTCTCCATATTTATAAGCTATTCAAAATTCCTTGCTTAATAATTTCTGGGAATAATTCCCAGCCTGTAGCTTATTCATGAGAAATTTGTTAGAAGTATCTGAAATTCAAAATTTGAGCTGCGTGGAGTAATTTTGACCAGACACCTGAATCAAATTATATGTTTCTGGTCCCTGATCGGCTGAGTGAAATTTTGAATCAAGTTTGAATACTTGGGTTTAAAAGTTCAAAATTTGCTTTTTGGACCTACAAAACAACGGGGAGTCCTGTGGTACCTTAAAGACTAACAGATTTATTTGGGTATCAGCTTTCATGGGTAAAAAGCTCAACACTTCGTCAGATGTGTTTTTTATTCTGAAAAACTTTTGTCCAAGTAAATCTATTAGACCTTAAGGTGCCCCAGGACACTCTCTCTGGTTGTTTTGCAGAGACAGAGTAACACAGCGACCCCTCTGAGACTTTTTGGACTGAGTCACTTAAAATTATCTTATAGACTAACTGAAGGGTTGGAGCATAAGCTTTCATGGGCAAAGACCCACTTCGTCAGATGCATCATGACGAAGTGGGTCTTTGCCCACGAAAGCTTATGCTCCAACACTTCAGTTAGTCTATAAGGTGCCACAGGACTCCTTGCCGCTTTTGCAGATTCAAACTAACACGGCTACCACTCTGATACTTAAAATTATCTGTTCCACGGTCATTCCTGCCCGCAATTTTGTTTCTTAAACCTTTTGTGGAAAGAAGGAGAAAGGTGCAAGACCGTCACTGCAAATGTGTTTAAAAATTCAAATGACTATTATCTGTATTTACTCAATTCTATTTCGTACATGTAACAGAGTAAACAAAGAAACATCTTACATATCTTGGCAATTGTCCAGTTCTATTTATTCCTTCATATCTTCTTGTGTCTTCCCCTGAAATACAATTTGTTCTTATGAAATCAAAACCTACGCTTAAAGAAGTGAAAACTGCTTTCATGATCAAATTGTAGTGAAATATGCAGAATTAATCTGTATCCTCATGTGTTCCTCATCCTCTCTCAGTATGCTTGCTACAAGTTTTTCTTGTGCCTTGCTTTAATTTAGATTGGAGGATTTTGGAACAAGCACTGACTTTAATAATGGGCAAAAGAGTGTGCAGAACGACATGGAATCGTAAGAGGCAACATGAATGCTTCCCTGAAGCACTGTCTGCCAGAGCTACCTAGATCACAGCTCTGGGACCCGGAAGAGCACCCAGGGCTGTATGCAAGACTCCTCCCCCCACTCCCAACAGAATCTGGGCAAGGAGCAAACAAAGCCATAATTTCCCACCTTGCTCCATACACTGGCCAGTGATGCACGCTGGTGATGGAGAGCAGGTCTGTGGAATATGCTGCACCTCCTAAAGCAGTGTCACAAATTATTCCCCCCTTCCCGCAGAAATAGAAGCACTGTAAAGTACAGTCCCTGTGCACTCCATGCGGCACCCCCCTGGAAATAGCATGATCCCTCTGTGGGCAAGGTGACCATATTTCCCCAACCAAAAATAGGGACACATGATCTGACACAGGATTTTTTTTCTGATTTGTGAAGTGATTTATATGAAAAGTCTTACAAAAGGATAAAAATTAAATCACAGGGGGGTGAGAGAGCAGGCTGGAGGTGTGGGGTGTTGGCAGGATGGTGAGTGAGCAGGCTGGGGGTGCGTTGTTTCGGCAGAGATGGTAAGTGAGCGGATGCGGGGTCTTGGTGGAGGTGGTGAGCAGGCTGGGGGTGCAGGGTCTGGACATGAGGAAAAGGGAGCCCACTTGCTTTCTCACAGCTCCCAACACTGTACCCCAGGCACCGCCTCCTGCTCCTATTGGCCTGATTCTGGAGCAGAGGGAAAAGCCTACAGGAAGCACATCTCTGTGCTGCTATTCCCCCAGCCCAGGGAGAGGGAGCAGCAGTGCAGGCAAGCCGCAAGCCGGATCCTGTGGGGAGCCTTGGGGCTTTCTCTCCCTGACCCCGCTGAAATAGTTGCTGAAATATTGGCATGTCCATGACATTTCAATGGGTTATGGGGACAACAGGACAGAATATTTGAAATCAGGACTGTCCTGGAAAATCCAGGACGTATGGTCAGTGTCTCTATGGGTGAAATCCTGGTCCCATTCAGGACAATGGGAGATTTACCTGAGACTTCAACACAGTCAGCCTTTCACTCTACACATTTACAGTATCAAATACAATAAAGTCTCCTTAACAAATAATAATAAGTAAGAGCTGCAAGATAGGGCAAAAACATAATAAAATTCCAAGCACTGATAACACACCCCTTATAGAAAGGTCACCGTTAAATGAAAGAATATTGGGTCAAATCCTGAAGTTTGCAGTCAATGAGACTTTTGGCCAAGAAAAGACCAACAATGGTAGGGATTAGCCCTTTGACTCTCATGACTTGACCCTCCAGATAACATAGGATGTAACCCCATGGAAATCAAGATAAGTGAGTCTTCTGCACCCTTGAAATAGCAGGTCACTCTTGTTTGGGGTGCTCAGCTGTGGATGTGGGTAGCTAACTCCAACATCCAGGTTTGAAAGTTTTGGTCCAGTGTTTCTAAACAAACGAAAAAAAAATATTCCCCTCCCTCCCACTATACAGTGAAACGGGGAAGAAAATGTGAAGAGACTTACCTGAAAGAGCAGAAAAGCAAAAAAAGAACACTACAGTGATGTGAACTTGGAAATTCATCTTGCTTTTGGCATAATCCCCACACCAGTAGATCAAACGCTTTGCTCTGATATTGTTTCTGGGCAGTAGGTAACAATAATTCTTTTCATAAAGAAGTGTCTATTATATAGGCCAGGAAGTGCCAGCGTTATTTATTCTTGGTATTTAACTCTTTCACTTCTCCCTGACTCTTCAGAAACTCCACCTCCCTTCAGAAACTGCTCAATTCCCCCAAAAACTCTTCCACTGCCCCACCTTACAGGAAGCCTTCTCATCAATTTCCTTGTCCCCAAATAAATTCCATCTTCAGCCATGTGTCTGATCATTCTCTGGTGGCCAGGAGGAAACTCCCATTCACCACCAGTCGTTACCCTGTCCTGCTTGTCCCACATTCCAGCCACCTTTCCCGCAGTACTCCTCCACGCCAAGTAACCCATCCAACTAACCCTGCCTAAGAAATACCCTCTCCCTGAAAAATCCCCCCACCACAACAGCAACTCTGCTCATGCTGTGGTTAGAACACAGGCTCAATGGAGGGATCATTGGGGAAAATTCCCTGGGCTATTAGGAATTTAATAATCAAACTGGTCCCTTCTGGCCTTAAAATCTAAGCATCAATGGTTTTCAGACAGACTGAGCCCCGTAACTCTCACTGATTGCAGGTGTAGGTGTGGGGTTCAGGACTTCTGAAAACTGACCCCTTGGCACTGTGGGTAACTACCTATATACACAGAGCTTCTATCTAGGGCACTGGTCTTCACCCGGTGGTCCGCGGGTCACCTGCGATCCTTCGGGGTTCTATGTGTGGCCCTCGAGACATTTTGTTACCGTTGCCCACAGGCAGGGTTGCCAGCTTCCGCTGGCTTCCGTCTGTGTCATTCTTCCCCTGCCTGCCTTACTAAAGTGACACAAGGGCACGTGAAGCGAGGTGCGTGTCGACTGTACACAGCAGTGCCTGTAAGAGCTCCCTCTGTGTCCAGTCAAAGCATTGCTGTAGCTGAGTCAGCACGGCCCACAAATTCTAGGCAGGCAAGCGCAGTGAGCAAAACGACCCTGCCTTGGGAGACCGTCTTGGTTCTGACAATCTTGCGGCCCACTGAGATGAAGGAGGGCCACTCATGCAGTCCACTCACTAGCCTAGGTTGCCCATCGCTGATCTAGAGAGATACTCCACAGCTCTCACCAGTAGCAAAGTGGTCTTCTTAGAAGTCCGCAGGAGAAGATCTCTTTTGGGAAGTGGCAGGTCAGTCCGTTCCATACCCTAAGAGCACTTGCATCCTTCTTCTGCGGGAGAGGGATGTCTGAGATAGGGATGTCAATGGCTAACTGGTTAACCAGTAAGCCTCACCCTTAATTAGGTAAGGCTTACTGGTTATGGTTAACTAGTGGGAGCTGGAGCAGCTTCCCACCCTGCCCTCCCCCCCATTTAATCCGCTAACCTTAACATTTAACTAAACAAATGGGATTTTACATCCTAGCCTGAGAACTGCTTTTCTTCCACTCCTCTGCATAAGTGGGGGCAGGGAGAGCAGGGAGCAGAATCAGCTGCTTCTTCCTCTTCTCTGAAAGTGTGAAAATTTGGAAGAGCTTCTTTTCAGGAAGCCCATGTGGAGACTCCTTAGCTCCCACTGTCGGAGTGGCACTGAGTGCAGGGGTACAGGAGTGGAGGTAGGAGAGCAGGCTGTAGAGCACGCTACAGGCAGTACAGGGGTACCGGTGTGGGTGTGCACGTGGAGCTGTAGCACAGGGTACTGGCAGCAGGGGCAGCCCTAGACTAGCTGCCAGCAACTGGCCCCCTAGGCGAACCATGCAATCGGCACCCCCACCTCCAAACCCCTCAATGATTTTGTGCCACCATTTGGCCTCCCATTTAACTTGGCGCCCTATATGGACAGGCCGCCCGACTGGCAGCATGGCGGTACTGGTGTGAGTGTGAGTGGGGGGCTGTAGTACTAGATACAGGCAGCACAGAGGGCTGGTGTGGGTGTGAATGTGGGACAGTAGTGCAGGGTACCAGGGCAGGCAGGCTGTAGAGCAGGCTACAGGCAGTGTGGTGTAGGGGTGTGTGTGCGCGTGGAGCTGTTGTGCAGGGTACAGGCAGTGTGGGGGTACCAGGGCAGGCAGGCTGTAGAGCAGGCTACAGGCAGTGTGGTGTAGGGGTGTGTGTGGGGGGGGCTGTTGTGCAGGGTACAGGCAGGGCGGGGGTACCAGGGCAGGCAGGCTGTAGAGCAGGCTACAGGCAGTGTGGTGTAGGGGTGTGTGTGGGGGGGGCTGTTGTGCAGGGTACAGGCAGGGCGGGGGTACCAGGGCAGGCAGGCTGTAGAGCAGGCTACAGGCAGTGTGGTGTAGGGGTGTGTGTGGGGGGGGCTGTTGTGCAGGGTACAGGCAGGGCGGGGGTACCAGGGCAGGCAGGCTGTAGAGCAGGCTACAGGCAGTGTGGTGTAGGGGTGTGTGTGGGGGGGGCTGTTGTGCAGGGTACAGGCAGGGCGGGGGTACCAGGGCAGGCAGGCTGTAGAGCAGGCTACAGGCAGTGTGGTGTAGGGGTGTGTGTGGGGGGGGCTGTTGTGCAGGGTACAGGCAGGGCGGGGGTACCAGGGCAGGCAGGCTGTAGAGCAGGCTACAGGCAGTGTGGTGTAGGGGTGTGTGTGGGGGGGGCTGTTGTGCAGGGTACAGGCAGGGCGGGGGTACCAGGGCAGGCAGGCTGTAGAGCAGGCTACAGGCAGTGTGGTGTAGGGGTGTGTGTGGGGGGGGCTGTTGTGCAGGGTACAGGCAGGGCGGGGGTACCAGGGCAGGCAGGCTGTAGAGCAGGCTACAGGCAGTGTGGTGTAGGGGTGTGTGTGGGGGGGGCTGTTGTGCAGGGTACAGGCAGGGCGGGGGTACCAGGGCAGGCAGGCTGTAGAGCAGGCTACAGGCAGTGTGGTGTAGGGGTGTGTGTGGGGGGGGCTGTTGTGCAGGGTACAGGCAGGGCGGGGGTACCAGGGCAGGCAGGCTGTAGAGCAGGCTACAGGCAGTGTGGTGTAGGGGTGTGTGTGGGGGGGGCTGTTGTGCAGGGTACAGGCAGGGCGGGGGTACCAGGGCAGGCAGGCTGTAGAGCAGGCTACAGGCAGTGTGGTGTAGGGGTGTGTGTGGGGGGGGCTGTTGTGCAGGGTACAGGCAGGGCGGGGGTACCAGGGCAGGCAGGCTGTAGAGCAGGCTACAGGCAGTGTGGTGTAGGGGTGTGTGTGGGGGGGGCTGTTGTGCAGGGTACAGGCAGGGCGGGGGTACCAGGGCAGGCAGGCTGTAGAGCAGGCTACAGGCAGTGTGGTGTAGGGGTGTGTGTGGGGGGGGCTGTTGTGCAGGGTACAGGCAGGGCGGGGGTACCAGGGCAGGCAGGCTGTAGAGCAGGCTACAGGCAGTGTGGTGTAGGGGTGTGTGTGGGGGGGGCTGTTGTGCAGGGTACAGGCAGGGCGGGGGTACCAGGGCAGGCAGGCTGTAGAGCAGGCTACAGGCAGTGTGGTGTAGGGGTGTGTGTGGGGGGGGCTGTTGTGCAGGGTACAGGCAGGGCGGGGGTACCAGGGCAGGCAGGCTGTAGAGCAGGCTACAGGCAGTGTGGTGTAGGGGTGTGTGTGGGGGGGGCTGTTGTGCAGGGTACAGGCAGGGCGGGGGTACCAGGGCAGGCAGGCTGTAGAGCAGGCTACAGGCAGTGTGGTGTAGGGGTGTGTGTGGGGGGGGCTGTTGTGCAGGGTACAGGCAGGGCGGGGGTACCAGGGCAGGCAGGCTGTAGAGCAGGCTACAGGCAGTGTGGTGTAGGGGTGTGTGTGGGGGGGGCTGTTGTGCAGGGTACAGGCACCAGGCGTCGCTGTCCTGCTCCTTAGTGACCCATGCGGCCAGCCCGCTGCAGGGCCCAGCCTGTCTGTCTGGGAGCATGCAGAAGGGGTTATTACCCTTTCCCTGCTGGAACTGACATGTGCCAGGTGCGTTTTCACTTCTAGCTGAGTCCCTACATAGACTCTTGGTCTTTTGGTACTAAACCATCTAAAAGCCAGCTCAGAATTGAACACAGCGAGTGGCAACAACAGTCTGGGGTTTACTCCTTCACACTGGAGTAGGGATGTTAGATAGCGGATAATTGCATAGTCGAATAACTACGTGAATTCTTACTGATTACTCCACGGGTGGCGAGGTGCTAGCGGCGACTTCCCCTGCTATACTGTGGGCAGGATATATTTTGGTTTGTGCCCCGAGGCATGTGTGAATTGGGGATGTAAAATCCCATTGAAAATGTTAACCGGTTAACCAGCTGTCATGTGCCACTGGTGGGGAGCCACTGGAGTAGTCTCCCACCTGTGGTGCAGCACGGTGGGTGGCTGGAGTGACTCTTTGCCTGCATTGTGAGCTGGGGCTGCTTGGGCCAGACAGCACCCACATTGCAATGCTGGTCCGTGGCTGCTCCTGCTGCACTGCACTGCACTGCGGACAGAGGCTTCTGTGGCTGCGTTGGGAAGGATCTGCCACACCACAGGTGGAGGGCTATTCCAGCAGGGCAGGCCCCACTGTACCGCAGGTGTGGATCTGCTTCAGCCACGCCAGATGCTGGTTAACAGGTTACTGGTAAGCCTCACTCAGTCAGTGTGATGCTTACCGAGTAATCGGTTACCTATTTACATCTGTAGTGTGAATGTGCACCACTGGGAGAAACACAAACATAGCTGGGTCTTCTGCTTATCAGCTGGACAGCACTGGAATCTCAGCTTACAGGGAACACTACTTGATACGTTATTGTAACAGGAGATTGCAACATCAGGTTGTAGCAATGCAGTGACTGCCTGGGAAGACATTGTTATTTAATTGGAAACTCTCAACCACTGTCTTATGCACAGAGAAGCAGATCCAGGAGGGTGCTGTACTCACTGGTGTTTTTTAGGGCTTGTCTACATTGCAAAATGTATGGTGTGTAAAGAAGACCGATCATTTGAATTGGATGACACATTGCTAACCATGACTTAGAGGTCAATGTAAGCCACAATGAACTGGGGTTAACATAATGTCATCAGACTGTTCATAATCATGTTCTCAGACAGTCACATTTTGTTATGGAGATGAGGCCTTGGAGTCTTCCAGGGGTGTGGTGCAGTTTCCTTTGGAAAGGAGAAAGCTGAAGCAACAATGATTGTGCCCTATAGAAAGTCAATTATATACACTTTAATGCTTGAAATACGTTTCAGAGCAACCTCTGAACATGCACTCATGAAGGTTATCAAGAGCAGAAACTAACCTTGACACTGACTCACTATTTGCTTGTACAGTTCTCTGAATCTTTTTTTGTCCTTTTGAAGCTTGACATTGAGTGGGTAAATAATAACACATTGAACAATTGTGGTTACTCATAATATATGCAGGTTTAAAATTTGTGTGACAGCTTTCTTACATTAAGAAACAATGAACCTTGAAGGAAGCCAGGGATTTCTCTATCAAGGTTAAAGTTAGGATGCCCCAAAAGTCATTTAAATGGCGATCTATGCCATTTATAATGCACTTTAAGGAATTTGCATAACACAGGTTCCTGCAAGGGGAATACTTAAGTTTTTCATCACACAGCACACTTTTATTTTGTAGAATTTGTTGCCAGGGGATGTTGTGAAACTAAAACTATAACTGGGTTGTAAAAGATAAGTTAAAGGAGGATAGATCCATCAATGACCATTAGCCAAGATGCTCGTACTCTGGGTGTCCCTAAAGCTCTGATTGTCAGAAGCTGTGACTACTAGATGATAGGGGATGGATCCCTCAATAAATGCCCTGTTCTGTTCATTCCCTTTGAAGCATCTGGCACTGGCCACAGTTGGAAAATAGACACTGGGCTAGATGGGCGTTTGGTTTGAGCCAGTATGTTCTTTTGTTGGGTAGATAGGTGACTGCAGTCATGGGCTGGGTCTGTTGGAGCTGCTGAGGAAGCTGTCGAATGTTCACAGTTCATTATGTGTTGGTTCTGCTCTTGTTTTGGTAGTAACACCAGCTTGGCCTCGATTCCTTCTGTTTAGTCATTTTGACTTGCTGTCAAAATCTTCCTGAAGAAAGGAAATGAGAGAAGGGAAATACTGATTTTTAACAATTAATAACTCAGTACAACCTGATCAGAATCTCATGGGACAAAGAGTGCTTTAGTGGACGAGGACTGTCCCTTGCTAAGTATTAAAGGCCTGCTGCAAACATTGGAGATGACAGCTGCTCAAAAGATGGCAGGACTCCTTTAGAATGGAAAGTGTTAGGCAGGCTAAATTAAAAGCATTGCTACCAGTTTCTGTCTAGAAATGAGATGCACTGAAATCTAGAATGAAGCGGCAGATTTTTATGACCCCATTAGTAACTTTAACTTTTTTTTTTTTTTTTAATATTCTCCATTCAGGTCCATGCATCTTTTGCTACAGGGCCCCGGCAAAATGATGGCACATTTTATGAAATTCGTACCTATGATGTTAAGCCATCAAAGATGAAGGAGTTTGTGGAATTGGTGAATAAACATATCCACCTTCGTGCAGCTCATTCAGAGATGTTTGGATTCTGGACTGTGGAGTTTGGGGGCATGAATAAAGCCATCCATATTTGGAAGTTTGGTATGTGCATCTTCACTTCATATTGCTCTTATGTGTCATGTGAAACAGGATGTTTCTTTTGGGCTCTTAAAGCTTAAAAAAAATTATTTGTTTATTTATAAATAAACAAATAAATTTAACTCCTACACTAACTACTGAAAACAAAGACAGTAGAACCTTAGAGTTTTGAATACCTCAAATAAAGGATGTTTGTAACTCTGAACAAAACATTATAGTTATTCTTTCAAAAGTTTACTACTGAACATTGACTTAATACAGCTTTGAAACTTTACTATGCAGATGAAAAATGCTTCTTTTAACCATCTTAATTTAAGTAAACCAAACACAGAAACAGTTTCCTTATCTTCTTAAAACTTTCCTTTTATTTTCTTAGTAGATTACATTTAACACAATACTGTGCTGTACAGGTTTGCTTTGTTTTGTCTTTGTTGCTGCCTGATTGCATACTTCTAGTTCCAAATGAGGTGTATGGTTGGCTGGTTTGTACCTCTGGTGTGTGTAACTTTGAGATCCTGCTTTACTTGCAGAATTAAGATACAGCATTTTTGACATCTTTATCCTAGACAGTCTTACAGGATGTTGTCAAATGCAGAATATTCTCAAATAGTCAATGAAGAAATTGCAATTGAGAATCTTCACTGCAGTATCCACTCACATTTAGGGCCTGATCCTGTGCTATTGAAGGGAAGTCAGTGAGAGTTTTTAAAATTTATTTCAGTGGAAGCAGGATTGAGTTTTCAGGGTAAAGTCCATGTATGAATAGTTGTTCTGAACCGGCCTGTCCAATATTTTAGACTCCCCTCTCTCCTTTCTTGCTCAGACAGGGTCTGTCTACACTATAGGACAAAGTCAAATTAATTGCTACGTTAATTGCATAGCTGAAGTTGAAGTAGCTTAACTTGGCTTTTGGCGCCGTCTACACTGCAGGAAGTAGAAAGGAGCACACTCTCCTTTCAACTTCCCTTACTCCTCATGAAAGCAAGGTTACCAGCATTGATTGAAGCACCCCTATCAGTTTGCATTAGCTGTCTTAACTAGACCTGCTAATTCAAACCCTGGAAGATCAACAGCGGCAGCTTTAATCTTCCTCTGTTGTGTAGGTGTACCCATAGGCCAGTGGTCCCCAACCATTTGGGGTTGCCGGGCGCCAGGGGGCGTGGCTGTTCGCCTGCCGGGCACCCGGGGGGCGGGGCCCCCCATAAGGATAAAAAGAAGCTTCATAGCGAACTTGGTGGTTCTAGCTGTTACGTTCTTGAACAAACAGATTCCCAGATGCACAAATCTCTAAAATATAGTATGATTGTGGTTATTGCCCCAGGTTTAGTAACAAACAATATAAACAAGCCATTGTAGGCATGAAATTTTAGGTTGTATGGAGTTTGTTTTTAGGTAACCTGTTGTAAACCTAAGCAAACACTAAGGCTATGTCTACACTGGCAGCTTCTTGTGCAAGAACTGTTTTGCGGAAGAGGTCTTGCACAAAAAGTCTTCCACAAGGGCACGTCTATACTGGCATGTGCTTTTGTGCAAGAGCATCCATGGCAGTGTGGATGCTCTCTTGCGCAAGAAAGCTCTGATGGCCATTTTAACCATAGGGGCTTCTTGCGCAAGTAATTCATGTTGCCTGTCTACACTGGCAGCTTCTTGTGCAAGAACTGTTTTGCGGAAGAGGTCTTGCACAAAAAGTCTTCCACAAGGGCACGTCTATACTGGCATGTGCTTTTGTGCAAGAGCATCCATGGCAGTGTGGATGCTCTCTTGCGCAAGAAAGCTCTGATGGCCATTTTAACCATAGGGGCTTCTTGCGCAAGTAATTCATGTTGCCTGTCTACACTGGCCTCTTGTGGAAGAGCTCTTGTGTAAGAGGGCTTATTTCTCGTGGGGAGAGGAATAACTCTTCCGGAAGAAGCCCTGTTTTACAACGCTAGACTGTAAACTTACTTGCGCAAGAACGTGCGTGCAGTGTAAAAAGCAGGCAAGTTTTTGCACAAGAACGGCTGTTCTTGCGCAAGAAACTGCCAGTATAGATATAGCCCTCATGTTTAATCAGTCTTGTCGTGTGCTTGGAGCCACTTTCATACTGGAGGACCAAATAAAGCTCCAGACCTGAAAAAATAATTAAGTGGATGGACCCTTGCACTAACATAGAGCTCCAGTGAAGTCATAGCAGTTTTGTGAAGATCTATATGCTTACCTTCAGGTATTGGATGGTAGATTAGGATTTATTTCTACTCTGGGGCATTAGTATTTTTTTTTTTTTTATTTCCCCAGTCTATTCTTTGAGATCACCTGTCTGCACTGATAAAACCATTGTTGTTCTGAACAGCTGTATAGAATAACCTTCCCCTGCTCTTCACTGATAGATCCAGTATCTGTACATCAAAATATTTTGAATTAAGACTTAATAATCAAATCTTTTTTTAATTTCTCAAATTCCTTTGTCTATTCAACTGCTTCTCTTTTTCTTGGTTAATTCCTTAATTTTTTAATGAGGAAATCACTGAGTAATTTATTGTATTAGGGAAAATTGAGATAAAGCTTGTGTTTTGTTTTATTTTCCTTGCTTGATTTGTTCTCTAACCATGTTCCAAGTGCAGCTACATATCATTCTGTCTTTTTCAGATGCAATCAGTTTTCTTTTTACATCTTTTTTGTTAGTTAAAATTAATTTGCTTAATTGTTCCCTGTATTTATATCAAGGTACTGGTATTTCTCATTAGTCTTCGTTTGTATGACTGTCGTCTTAAATTATTGAAAATTTTGTGTGTGCATCTGTCTATACCTTTTTAAATCCTAGTTCTCATCTGAGCAAAATCTTCAATCTAAAATGAGAAAACTAAAGTAAATATTTTCAAGGAAAAGGCAAAACAATTACTTATTTTTTCCATGTCTCAGTCTCTCTTGAATATATTTTCAACTAGCTATTTGGCTGTTGGTACAAAACAAGGAGGGACATCATGCCTAATTCTAGATACTAAGAGTGATTGTGAGCATCAGCTTTTGTTAAAAATCCTTTTTCAAGCAGAATCCTTTTATGTGAATTTTGCTTGAAAAAAATCAGTTTGTTCTCAAAATGATTATATTAACTTTGAGGGCAAAAGAGGATATTTCTGAAGAGAATTAAATTGTTCTTATGTTAAATTCCAGACTCCCAAATGACTTAACTTTTGAATAGCTTTTCTGTCTTCTACTAGCAAATTTATTTTAAATAAATCCATTGTGACATGAATGGAAATAGAACCTGACAGAACTGAATATAAAAATGTTTAGCACCTTAGAGACTAACAAAAATATATGCTATCATGAGCTTTCATGGGCAAAACCCACTTTTTCAGATAAGATGATCTTGAGACAATATAGAACTGAATATAGACTTTTAACATCTTTCCTTTTTGGTAGATAATTTTGCTCAGAGAGCAGAAGTCCGGAAAGCAGTAGCCAATGATAAAGAATGGCAAGAAAAATTCATCTCTCCAGTTCTTCCCTTGTTGAAAAAACAGAAAAATGAAATTGTTTACTTGGTACCTTGGTGTGAGATTGGGAAGCCTTCAAAGGAAGGGGGTGAGCTTTATCTTTTTTTGTGTTGATGAAAGCTATTTGTGTGGATTCAGTAAGAAACAGCTGAATGTTTTAACCAAATGTTATGTGACAGGCTAGGGAAGAGCTCAACAGTTGCTTTCTTTTACAGGAACCTGTAGGTCAGGGTAGGAGGTTAGCATAGAGGTGTTCATGCGTGTGTGGGTGTGGGTGTGTGCATACTACATTTGCATGAATTGGTAGCTTGTGCAGTTCGGTTGGGAATAAACTGGATGAACAGTTAGGATGAGCAATCTGTTCACCCTTCAGCAATTGCATTGAGTATTTTTCTTGTAACTTGCTTTCCCCTCAATGTATGGGAATGCATAGACCCACTAACTAGACCCCTAGGGGATCGATCTCCACAGCACTGGAGTAAGTGCAGACATGGCTTCAGTCTCTAGCCAGGCTAATGCTGCCCTGGTAAGTAGATTGCGTTCATAGATTCTGGAGAAAAGAGTCTGATGATCACTTGAAATGGCTGTGCTTCTCTTTATCTTTGAAACGGCACCATCTATGTGCAGGGTCATTTAGTGAACTCTTAATTGTTTTAATTTCTGTGCCCCAAATCCCATATTCCTATGTGACACGATGAATATTGGGACTGTTTGGTTTGGTCTACTAACCCCAAAAAGATAGAAGTTACTGCTTTAACTGAATCACAATATATGTGAGCATGGCCTGTGAGATTTTAGGACCTTGACTCAGGTGATTAATTTGATGTTTCATGGTTTGTACTGCTGTATTCCTTCCCCATCAGGGGTGTACGAGATGGTTACTTTTCAGATGAAACCTGGTGGGCCAGTTCTGTGGGGCCAGTCGTTCAGAGCTGCAATCAGTGCTCATCTCAATACAGGCTACACGAAGCTGATTGGTGTTTTCCACACAGAATACGGATTACTTAACAGAGGTACAACACTAGTCAGTTTCCAGCATGGTCATGGTCATAGAGGGTTAAAGGTGCAAATCAGCAATACTCATGGGAGTATCAGACTCCTGATTAATGTAACTGCACTTCTGAGGCTGCATTTTGTATCTTGCATGGCTTTAGCTAATTTCAAACGATGGTGTCTTATTTTGGTCAGCATACATTTCCCACATTTAGCATCCATGCTGCTCGCACTGAATACTGTTATTGTGGTAATGGTGTGCTTGTCTAACTGTAAGGTGGTGGTGGGCAACCAGTGGCCCATGGGCTGCATGTGGCCCACTGGGTTTCCACCTGCAGCCCACAAACCCCGTCTGCCCATCTTCCCCATATGCCTCTCTTGCATCAGGGCACCAGAGCCCTGCACTTCCTCCTCCCTCCTAGTGCTTTCGGAGCACCATGAATTGCCTGATTTATGCTCCATTCCCCAGAGCTAGAAGGCTGTGAATACGAAGGACAGGGCTTTGGTGCCCCTGTGAGTGAGAGGTGCGTGGGGGAGGGCGACAGCCTGCAGGGCCACAGGTGGAAGCACAGTGGGCCACAGGTTGTTATTACCCACTGATATGACGTATGACCCACTCACTATTCTTGGTTGCCTGTCGGTGCTGTAAGGACACTAGGAGCCAGTGCTAGCACTAGTTCTTTGTGGAATTGAAACATCAAAATACAGATCATGCTGATAAGCAAGCTCTGAAATCCTTGAAAGGATTTACATTTCCAAATAAATTGGTTCATACTTGCTTATGGATGATTCGCCCCCCAAGTACAGCCAAATTTTACTCCTTTTTGCCAGGGGAAAAGGCGCAGCATCTTGGCACTAGTTCTGATATCACTGTAAGGGCGCACACACACAGCTGCCTACCCACTGAGCGCCACTGTTTCTTCTGCCCTTGAATCATGTAAACTCTCCCTGAATTCAAGTTGACCGGGGAGGTCTACAGACAGTTTGCTGAAAGTAGAGTTGTGTCTTAAAAGTTAGAAAACGCAATGTTAAAAATAGGGATGCTCAATTGTGTTTAATCAACTAATGGAGTAGTTGATGGAATTCCCACCCGGTTCTTACTACATTTAAAAGGCAGAGGTGCTGGCTCACACCCAGTCCCAGATGTTGCGCCTCTGCTTTTAAAATGTACTACATTTAAAATATACCCTAAATAAACTACATTTTAAAGGCAGAGGTGCAGCGTCTGGGAGCGGGCATGAGCCGGGATGCTGATTCCTGGCTTGTGCCCCGTCCCCTGCTGCGCCTCTGCCTCTCCATGGAGACAGTGCTGGGGGGAACCGGCTTTTAAGCTGGCTCACCCCAGCAATGACTCCTGCTCCCTCTCTTGCTGCCTCTATCAGCTGCAAGGGGTGGGGAGCAGTTAGTCGAGTAGAGACTCGACTACTCGATAAGCATATTCTTATTACTCGGCTAGTCGCTTACATCCCTAATTAAAAATCAGCCTAAGGAAAATCTCTGCAGAAGAATGTCTTGTAATGTACTTGTTTGATGACTTGCTGCTTCTGCATAGAGGGTTGGAGAACAGAGCAAAGGGCATGTGGGATATTTCATACCCTAATTTAGCTATGGTCTCACTCTTGTTTGTTTTGCTCATGTTTTCGAAGTTCATGTGCTTTGGTGGAATGAAAACCCTGACAGTCGTGCAGCAGGGAGACATTATGCTCACGAGGACGCCAGGGTGGTAGCAGCTGGTAAGCAAGGCTGTGTCTTTTCAGCATGCCTACTGAAAATTCAGAAGACAGTTAATTAAGAATGCAGTCTTGTATTAACTAATTCTATGTATTTCATTTCAGTGCGGGAGAGTGTTAGATTCCTGGAGTCCCAGAAAAATATGCTCCTGATTCCTTTGTCCTGTTCACCATTGAAATAGTTTTCTACCAACTGGTGTAATGGCGGACAACACATAACTTTCTTACAGCATTTTTATCTGGACTGTCGTATGGGTCTCAATAGCAATATAACTTAGCCAAATACCCTTCAGTTTACAAGTATGTGGATGAAACCTGAACCCACAGGCTCAATCTTAGCCCTAGTCCTTTGCACTCCATGCCACCATAAGAATTCAGGGCCTGCCCACTATGCCGTGAACTCTGCAAATGCTTCTGATTAGCCATAAACTTCTCAGTTTATTGCTTCTTGAAGATGCAACTGGTACAAAAAGGCCTTTCCAGAGTTCACAGCTGTGCCTGTGCAAGGACAATCAGAGAGCTGTTATCTGTATAATGTGCTTTGCTACCTCCTCAGAAGGTCACAACTTCCCTGTTACTACTTGTTGCTCTAAGAACCAGGAACCCTGACCTAGGTTTTGCATGCTGACTGTACACCTCACAGTGTGTTTGCTTGGCTTTATTATTCTGTAAGGTTGCAATGAGGTTGGAATATGCACAGTAAAATAGGTGAAGATAGAGAGAACTCAGCTTAAGTATCAGGAGTATCTTTTTTTATTTGAATGACTTTATTGCAATGAATTTAACTTTTATTGCGAGTCCCTCTATTCAATTATGACTGAGCAAACAGGAAGTGAGACGATCACTTCTTCATGCAAATACTTGTTTGTTGTGCTGAAATTGATTATGAATGAACTGATTAATTCTGAAAGTTTCTTTATGGATTGTGTATCAGATTAACTGGCCTACTAAAGTACACGTGCCTACTCTTTTGGAAAAAGCTTTGTCAGACTGTAAAAGTTTAAATCCAAATAAAAACTTTGATTAGTGTTCTGCATCTTATATACAGCCATATTACTTGAGTTTCTTTCAACCAAAAGGTTATCAGTCTCACAGGATAACATGGCTACCCCTCTCTGCAAAAACTATGAGGAGTCTTGTGGCACCTTAAACACTAACCTTATGCCCAAATAAAGCTGTTAGACTTTAAGGTGCAATAGGACACCTCATTTTTCCAAGAGGTTATAGTACCTCTATAAAAACAGCATCCTGAAGGCTCTCTATGTTGGCTTCAGCAGCCTTGCTCCTTAACTTGCTGGAGGGAGTCACTGAGTATGTAGATGCATGTTCCTCTTCACAATCTTCATCTGTCTGGGACTAAACATGAAATTGTGGTTTAGTTTACAAAGCATTTCCCTCAGCATTACCAGCAAGATGTTAATTCAGTTACTTTATATGCTGAATATCTCAATTTGTGTATAAAGACTTACAACTAAAGCCTGGTTTTAAAATCAGGAAATCAATGGGGAAAACATTGTCTTTACTCAAGTTGCATCCCTTGGGCAAGTGTATGCAGTGTAGATAGGCCATGATTGAAGTTGCCAACTTTAATATTCCCCTTAGCTGTACATTGCAGCACCATGGACACGTGCACTATCCTCAGGATGATAGGACCAAAGTTAGGCCCAGTAGAGACCGAATTCTTCAGAGGTCAGTTCCTCCGATCTTTAAAAAAAAAAAATCTAAGTACTGGATTAGGTCTTCACATTTGAATCTGATTTATTGGACTGCTAGTATCAATTTGAGCATCCCTAACCTTAATCAGGAGAAGGTGTTAATAATCACTTATTTGGTGGCACAGGACACTGAGGTTTACCCTCTATTGTACTAGGCTGCAAATCTAAAACTTACCTTAATATTGTTTTCATTAAATAAACCTGTTTAGTAAAGGTGCAAAAAAGTTTTTCACTTCATGTGTGGAAGCTTACATCACAAACCAATTATAGGCAAGGTCCTTCTGTGTGTCACCGGTTAATAGCACAGCTCTAACTAGTAAATGCATAACAGCAACATTTTGTAGATGAACAGTGCTCTTACAGCTTTATTTTTGACTTAATACAAGGCAATTAAAATGCCTAATACTTTACAAACAGGTATTATCAAATTTATATATATCTGTATCTATATATAGATAAATATAAATTTGTTTTTAATGACAATGTTCATTGAAGGATTTAACTTAGTTTTGTTGTGAAATCTCTCTATTTTGCAAAGTTAATAGATATTCCAGTGCAAAAATAGATCCCATTACAGATAGCATGAAGTGCTTGGAATGAAGGACCAGCTGTACGGGAGGGGAGGGGGAAAGGGAGCGCATCAGGAAGGGGAGGAGAAGCACTTTATCATGGGAAAAACATGTCTAGTCTTTACTAAAATACAAATATACTAAAAAAAGGGATGCAACAATTTAATAGCATACAGTAAGTGGCAACATTGTTTCAAATACATAAATGCCCTAAATGCAGTTCTGTTATCAGTGGTTCACAACTGTAACAGGTATGGCACTTGGATAATTTTGCCTGACACCTAGCTACAAGGGCAGAAAAAGTAGTTTGAAATCATTTCAATAAGTGAAAGAACAGTATATGAGAACTGTACAGGGCAGAAAAAGTAGTTTGAAATCATTTTAATAAGTGAAAGATCAGTATGTGAGAACTGTATGGCACATTCTTGATTTGATATAGATTAAAAAAAATAAGGAGTTAGGGCCTGAAGAGTTGTGAAATATTTCTGTTACCTTCAACAGTTACTGTAACTTTTTATCACAGAAGACAGATTGTGCATTAGAAATCTTCAAGGCTTTTTTCTTTGGCAGATTTAGGAGAAATGAGCACATTGTGAGTACACTATCTACTGCAAATGAAATCATACCTCAAAAAACTGCAACTATCTATATGAGGTTAAAATAAACCCCTAACAAGGAGGGAGGGTATCAAACATGTACACCCCATATTCCTATTAATCTGACTGATAGTTCTGTGCATTGAAGGATTGAGTCTATAGCTTTAGTCTGTCAGTTGAGATTGTGAATTAGTGCCACTTGTGATGTTTTCAGAGGTACTAAATGTTCAGTGTGTTCATTGACATTGAAAAATTGTATCATAGCCTTGATCCTACAGCCCTTGGTATCATACACATTACAGCTGCAGGATTGGGCCCAATATTTATAACAGCTCTGCTTCTGTAGATATAATGTATATTTTTAATTTATATTAATCAATCTGTGAGGATGCTGTGGGGAATCTGAGTTCCTATAAATACAATAGAAAATATGCTTTAAGAAATAATATGCAATCCCCTCTGTCTTTTCCCTGCTATGACAATATTCTGCAGATTAAATTATTAATACAGCATGTTAAAGGCACTTCAGCAGAGCTGTAGATTAGTTTGCTTTATCCCAACAGGAATACAGTGAGGACTGGTAGACTGTGCAAAGGGTTAAGTGTTTCATTCAATTTGGCATTTTATTAATCAGTGCTACCAATGATGCCTGGAACTATAATAATCACATTGCCCAATGCTGCTAAAACGATAAAGTTCATGGCACTTTCCAAATTTATTAGCATAAGACTAGAGGGCATTTACCAACAAATAAATATCAGGTCATGCTGGGGAGCATCAAAAGGCAATAAACAACTTCTAGAGGCTCAAGTTCAGTCAGGGACACTATGCCTGAGCAGCCCTGTTGAAGTCACTAGGGTTGCTTAGGTGGCTAGAGTTAAGCCTGCAATAAAATGCCTCCGGACATTGTTGGGTGTCCGTGTAGAAGCACCAGCCCAAGGAACACAGTGCGGGTGTGCTCCCGGGGCAGAGCCAGACCAGAGTGGGTGTCAGTAGTTCTCACCATCCTAAATATTTTTTCTTGTAAAGTTTTGAAATTCAGATTACCAATTGTTGTTACTGTGGCATTGGGGCTTACGTGCCTGCTTGTCCCAGGGGAACTTGAATGACGTGGTTTCCCACATGAACAAACATATATTCTGCAGTTAGGGTTCAATTAATAATTGAAACCACATTACATTAATCTAACTCTCTCTCAGTTGCCATATAGGAGAGCTTCAGGTGAACTTTCATAGCTGAAGCCGGGATCGTGGTACTTGCTAGAACACAATGTAGAATTTGCACAGATATGCCTATAACAAAATTATCACTGAAAATAGAGCATGACAATGCAGGCATAATGTAATAAACTACGCTATGGCTAAAAAAGCCTACTCAAAGCAGTTTCAAACCCTAATTAGGCTGCCTATTTAAAGACATATAAATAATACTGTTGGAAAAGCAATCTACATCGCTTCAGGTTTTGAGTTTAGGTGACAACGCCACAAATTACACCACATTTGAGCTAAGCAATAACGAATTTCAGACGGTGATTACCTTTCTGCTGCCAAACTGGAGTTCAAGAGTGATGCTGCATCGCAGGATGACTTGTCTTGTATTTTATCATTTACTCTTGGTGGCAGCAGCATATCAAACCAATGAGTAAGCTGCTGCGGTCTGATCATTCGTTTTGCTTCTCATCCACTGCTCTCTGCTAGGTCTTCGTGCAGCCTTCCAAGTGGCCCTTACTGTGGTACCTCAAGAGGAGCAGTCAAGCATTGAACTACACAATGGGCTAGTTAGGGAGCAAGTGATTGGTCACAAAGCTAGTGGCACAGGTCCATGCAATTGCAAGGTTCACAACTATGCACATTGTCACCACAGCAGCAGATGAGGAGACAGGCCATCAAATCTGTGGATGCCATCTATAGCCTGTATGCTTCGTGGTTTACGGTTTTTACCAATTGACCTCCACCAGTCTAAAAAGGCTTTTACGGAATAGCTGGCCAGGTGAGTCCCTCCCCCCCGCCCTCCCATGACACTGCCTTTTGGTAACTAGTTGGCACTGACTGTTTCGGTGCATTCATTGCCAGCAATGGATGTAGCACCAGGGAAATCCCACTCCCGCTATGAAAAAAATTTAAGAGTACAAACGTGCACACATTTAAAATATCAATAAATAATCACTGGCCATGATTCTTCAATGAACGATTGTTGCACCCCTAGGAAAAATATACTGTCGGAACAAAATACAGTATGGCTGAAAGCCCACAGTATCCCGTGGGTTTCATATGACCGTTTCACAGAGTTATACTGTAATGAACTACATTCAAGTCATTCACTTAAGAACAGTACAACAAGGCAACGACTCCAAGAGGCACTGCCTCCGTAATGGAATTTTGTTTTCATTGCATTGAATTGCATTGCATTGAATGGTTATCAGTAGAGTGTCCAGTTTACGTCTTTCCCTCTGTATCCTCTAGCTTTCCCCTTTGGGACTATTCCATTCCATGCAAAAGAAGGTGCGCTGTCTCGTCCTTCGGCTGAACACCACATCCTTGCCTCAGGTAGCTCACACACAACTTTCTTTTGCCTTCTCGTCTCGCAGAAAAGAAGTAAGGATGGCAATGTCCACAACAGTCTGGTTTTTGTGCAATGACATGTCCTTCGTGTGGTCATCGTCACTTTGGTCCTTGGCAAAGTTTACAAATACCTACAAGAGAAAAGAGTCACGTCTTGAGTCATGAGGGGTTCTGCTGAGGCCAGGACGTTTTCATCCATAAACTGGCCTTTTCTGGAACTGCTTGTTTATGCTGGATTCAATTCTGCCCTTATTGAAATTAATGACAAATCCTTCCTGCTGGCTTTAATGGCAGTAGGGTTAAGTCCACTATCTAGTTCTTGTCAATTCCAATAGGTACAGAAGAAATGCCCAGGTGGAAAAATCGTAAATCTGCCTCACAGTAAGCATCACTGTCCAAAGGCCTCATTGTCTTTCCAGCTGTTTGGGCTCAGCCAGCGCCCCCCCTGCCGCCCACTTCCATTGCACTGGCTTTGCTGGTTACTGCATCGAGCTCAACAGTCTATGGATCAACTTATTCCTGCTCCCACCCCTCATTCCATCCTACCTCCTTCTGCATCATATCACCCTTTGGCTTCTGAGCTCTCTGTCTTTCACTCTTCGACTGACCCCAGAGTGGGACCTCTGTGTCAAGCATCCCCAAGACCTTTTAGTGGAACAGTAGCTCCACACTTTTTCCTATGGCTGTAGTGCATAGTGCCAGATTATAAACTCTTTGAAGTCTCCAGGAAGGTGCCAGGTATTTTTTTTACAGTGCTATGTACCATGCGTTTCTAAACACCACATGTTTGTGCCATGCTATATCCCTTCCACTACTATGGTACGTTCATCTGAGGATTTCTAAGCGTTTTATAAACATGAATTTCACCTTACAAGACTATTGCACGATAAGCAGCCATTCTGAATATCCCATTTTACAAGCAAACATACAGAGAGGGTTTTTGAGTTTACCCAGTCACACAGGAAAGAGAGCATGCATCCTAATGTCTGTACAATTGCAATATTCTATTTCCTCCCTTAGTTGTATTTCTTTTAGCTTTTAAGTCACATTTAGCCTGCCCGTTTGGTTCAGAATAGGGAGAAAAAAGATGCAGCGGGTTAAGCCAATTATGATAATGATGACTCCTCTGTAGCCCTTTTCATTAGTAGATCTCAAAAGTTTTGCACAAAAGTTCAGTAGCATTAGCCCCATACAGACAAAGAAACTGAGGCAGAGAGAAACGAAGTGACTTGTGCAAGCAAGTGGCAGAGTTGGGAACAGAACCCAGGTTTCCTGAGTGCTCTCTCCATCAGTCCCTGCATAAGTATCCCATTTGCCTTCCCACAAAGGTGTAATTCACTGACTTGTTACAATCTCCAAGCAGGAAATACTCAGCTGAAGACAAATGGCTGAGCTCTGCTCTCAGTTACATTTGGGCTGTGTCTAGACTGCATCCCTTTTTCGTAAAAGGGATGCAAATTAGACGTATTGCAATTGCAAATGAAGCGGGGATTTAACACCCCTCCCCCCCTGCTTCATTAGAATAAAAATGGCTGCCGCTTTTTTTCAGCTCGGAGCTTTGCTGGAACAAATTGCCAGTCTAGACCCGGATCTTTTGGAAAATAAAGCTTTTTCCGAAAGATCCCTTATCCCTCTTAAAATAAGGGATAAAGGATCTTTCGGAAAAGGCTTTATTTTCCAAAAGATCTGTTTTTATGCTAATGAAGCGGGAGAGATTTAAATCCCTGCTTCATTAGCAATTGCGATATGTCTAATTTACATCCCTTTTACGAAAAAGGGATGTAGTCTAGACGTAGCCTTGGAGTAAGTCCAGTGGAGTCATTCAGGATTTCCCAGCTAAGAAAGGAGAGAATTTGGCTCTCAGAGCTCTGGACACTTACTTGGTCAAGTGTAGTTTGAGAAACGGAGTAGTCTTCTATGTGGAGTCTTTTTTTGTTCTGGGAGAGGATGCTAAATATCCTAGCCAGTGAGGATGGCGAGGATGGGAGCTGGTACTGAAGCATGTTCCGATGCTTCTCCTTCAGGACGCTGCCAGGAAAGGCAAGCCCAAAGAATTCCTGCACGGGCTTCAGGTTGGGGTTTGCGCCCGCTATTCGCACCACTATCGTATAGCCATCTCCAAACCTGCAAACGACAGCAAGCAGAGGAGCTTAAGCAGGTTGCTTTGACAAAGGGGTGTCAGGTAAAATACACAGCCACTTCCTATAGCGGATACAGCAACAAGAAAGCAGCAATAAGAACTGGAGAAGGAGACAAAGGACGTCAATGCCCCAGCTCTAAAAATGTGCCAGTGCTGTGGCCTGAGCAAACTGAAAGCGCTCACCTGTTCTTCAGATGCTGGACGCTGCCAAGACACCTGAACCTCCCATTGACCATGATTGCCATTCGAGTACACAGGGCTTCACATTCTTCCATGCTAGGGGGGGAAATGAAACAACATGTAACCCTGCAAAAAGCCTGCATCTCCTGAGATCCTCTCCCCCATGCACGCCCAAGGGGGCCTTTACAGAAATGAAGCAGTTGAGCTGAATGTTTAGATTTCAAAATCCTCCCCAATTGAATCAGAGAGAGAAATACAATGCAGCATCCACACAACTGTAATGAGCCCTACACACCTGTGAGATGTAAGCACTACCGATCTCCCCTCCTTGATGATGCTCAGAGCACAGTTCCACAAGAAGCGGCGGGCTTTGGGATCCATTCCCGTGGTTGGCTCATCCTGCAAATTACGTTTAATGAACTATGTTACTCACATGCTTCTAAATTTTGCCATTGTGTATGACCTAGTGTAACCAAATAGCGAAAACCAGACCCATCCAAAGAATTTTGTCGGGAAAAGTTTAAAAGAACACGAAAAAGTTTCACAGACACTTTTCTCCTTTCTTTCAAAATTTAAAATATTATTTTTCCCTAACATTTTAACTTAGTCAGATTTGATCGGCTCTACTGTTGGAAGACATCGAGGGAACAAATTTTGAGAGAGTTGTCAATTTTTCCCTCTAGTTACAGAATATTTTAAAAAATTTCAGCAATGGAAAAAAATCAATGAACTCCAATTTCAACAGGATGTGTAGCTTTTCTTCAGTTTTCACATACGATGGAGTCTAGTAGCTGTCTTTCAGTAAATCACAATAGGAAATATATAACCATTGCTTTCTTATATAAGCTTTTCTCAAACTCTTCACACATACAGGGCAGGATCTGATCATCTGTCTATGCACAGTACTCTTACAAAGTTAGAGGCTATTGTTCGTTATTCTTAGTATCCAAATCTAGATGGTCATTGCCAAAGTAATTGGAAACAACTCTCTGGAACAACTTTCCAAAAATAGAGGCCTGAAGTTCATGCCATATTTGGCCTGGTATTTGCACATGCAACTACATCATTTGCACATATAAGTTGGGCCTTTACACACACCAATGATTTGTTATGTATTTGAATGTATACTTCATTGCTAAGAACTCCATTTTTTCAATGGACTTCAATGGGAACAGAGATCTATTATTTAGTGGAAAAAATGTCAATGTGTGAACAGTTGTGAACTCACTAAGAACAGCACTGGAGGGCCCCCAATCAAGGCAATAGCAGTGGAGAGCTTGCGTCTGTTTCCTCCACTGTAGTTTCCAGCATATTTTTCTCCGTATTTCACAAGTCCTAGTTTCCGAATCCCCCAGTCGCCAACCTACAGGAAGAGAGGACCCCATGATCTTCTGAATCGATATTAATGCATGAGAAGGTAAGGAGTCTTTGGGAAACAACAAAAATATTACTACAAATAGAACCAATTATACAGCATATTCATTGTAAGCTCACAGGAAATGTTCCAAGATTCCTCAAGGTGCTTGCAGTTACTGTCACAGCTATGGCCCATTGGTTAGTATTTCTAAACCAGCACTCTCTAGTCTACTGCATTTGGGATGTAGATGGTGCACGTTATGGACAGTGTGAGAAATCAACAACAGAGAGGGCATGAGTGGAGACAAACAGTACCAAGGGCCTGACTGACTGCTCCAAAACGTCAGCATCCGACTGATGATGGTGTAGTCCCTATAAAATACCAAATAGCCAGACTGGGAAGCCCTTAAGTTGAACTTAATGGGACTGTTCCTTGGAATAAATAATCAGCCACAGGAATAAGGACTCCGCCATTTGTCCCTACATAAGCATTCCCTAAGGCAACAGGCCAGTCTAGGAGTAATAGTGACCAGTAGGAAAAGCCCAGGAAGGGTTTAACTAACTTGAAACCCAGGTGTATTTGTAGTATCAGCTGCTCTGAGCAGGACAGAGCTGTCCTAGATAGGAGTGAGCAAGCAGAAAGCTTGTACAGTACTGAAGAAATACAGCAGCTGACCATTTTGCTATGCTTCGCTAAAGCAGGAAGCGGCATGCATGCCAGCCAAAACGGGTAACCAGTTCAGTCAGAGTGGATGCTTTTCTGCTTTGGGTACCTTGCAGACTTCTCTCTCCGGAACACCTCGTAAAAGTGCGTAGAACTCCAGATGCTCCCTCCCGGTCAGCAGCTCATTAATGGCATCAAACTGAGGGCAATAGCCCATGTTCTGATGGACTCCTTGGATGTTAGACAAGATACTGTAAAGTGAGAAAAGAGCCATCGTGAGGGTTGTGCAACACCCGCTGGCATTTCAGGGATGGTGTAGGACCAGTCCACAGTAGCTAGCTCCCCAAACCAGTTTTAATTTATTTTAAAATCTGACTGTTAATCGTTATGGGTACTGTTTTCAACAATGCCTAAGTTATTTCAAGGCCTGTGAACATGCGTCCATCACAAGTTACTGTGGCAAGTAGCCATGGTGCCACTCTACAGTGCACCAGCTTGCTGCAGTGATGTCCGAGATGTCCTGCTGCAGCACAATGAAAGCCTTGGAGTGACAGCAGTATGCCCTGCCTATCTGGGACTTCACTGCGCTGCAGTAACCTTCATTGGGGATGTTTCTGTGCAGCAAGCTGATGTGCTGGAGTTTCACACCATAGCCTTCTGCGCCAGAACTTGCCGGGTGGACAAGCCCTGAGCCCCGCTTTCAAAAGCGACTTGGGGCAGGGGTGGCCAACCAATTAGAGACAAAGAGCCAAACTAGCGGTGGACAGAGTGCAAAGAGCCATGTATTATATATTTATTTGTATATATCTATCCATAGAAAGAGAGATCGATAGATATAGTACATCAAATGCAGTGATAAAAATAACATCACAGACATTTTGAACAAAAAACAATAAAAAAGTCTCTGGTCACATAAAAAGTTTAGGGCCAGTCCATACATCTTCAGAGAATTTGGCAGGGAACAAACATCACATTAAAATAAAACCCTTTAAAAATACAGTAATATTCTCACATTAAAAAAAAAGCATCCCCATCATGTATTTTAAATTTAACACTACTGCCCTATTACATCCTGTGAGTTTTTTAAAATTAAACTGAACTGAGAAGAAAATTAGCCTAATTTGAAGTGCCTATTTCACTCCAGCTTGTTGATCTCTGCTATGGTTTCCTCATTTTTTTTCTTATGAAGATTATGGCCTTTTTATATTAATGCCATAATATTTTATAGTTCTAAAAATGCAGGTCTGTCTCAGACTGCAAATGAGAGGTTCAAAAACAAGAAGGGAGAGACTCATATCTCAGAGTAATTGCTTCAGCCTGGCAAACAATAGCCTTTGAATTTTCTTTAAAGAAACACAGTGTAAACCAGATTCATGCTGATTTCCCCCCCCCACCCCCCCACGGAATTGAAATATGACATCTCTGTTGGCTGCCTTATTCTGCATCCATGAAGACTTTGAGTTTAAGGTACTTGAGACACTCCACCACCCCTTCCCTCCCCACCCCCCTGCTCTAACCCAATGTTCCATTCTTCCCCCAGAGCCAGGCATTCTCAGCCTCCCACTCTAACCCAATCCCCCTCTCTCCTCCCCCAGAGTCAGGCACCCCCCCACCCCGCTCTAACCTAATGCCTGGGTCCTGGTTGCGTGGGGTGCGTGCACCGAGCGGCTGGCCGTGAGCAGTCCAGGCACGCGGCTCAGAACCAGCAGGAGCTGCATTTCTTTAATCAAAGAGCCGCACGTGGCTCGAGAGCTGTAGGTTGGCTGCCCCTGACTTAGGGTAACACTAGGGCCTTTATCAAGAAAATGCAGAGAGGTTTAGCCCTGGTGCAAGGAGGGGCTAGTCTAGCAAAGTCAGTGGAGTTACAGCTGCCAGGGAAATTGAGCATCCAGGAAGGAGTGAGAAGCAGAGGACTTTCTTTTGTGTAAAACAAAAGGAACAGTTGTTGTGTCGTCGTCTCACCTGTTGCCCTTTAGAAAAGCTTCTCCTCCGGTCACGTCGGTGTCTCCAGTTAGCATCTTGAAAGTTGATGACTTGCCAGCACCATTCACTCCCAGGAGTCCAAAGCACTGAAAACATTAAAGAGCAGATGAGCCCATGTGTATCTGATGGCATCACCTGGCCTGTAGAATCTTTCAGGACTGACAGTGACATGAGGCGAGAAGTCCCTGGACTCTTAGGGGGAGGGCGAGGCTCTAAACAATTAGGAAAACCCCATTTTTCATGTATAAACTTGAGCAAACTTGATGAGGAACCAGTGAGACAGACGGTCCCAGAGAGCCCCCATTCTGACAGTTGCTTTTCCATGTCATGCAGTATTTTCGTAGGGTGTTTCTGAATTTGGACTTCCAACTCAAGCCATTTAGAAGGGACCCAAAGTATTTGTCCAAGTTCACACCCAGAGTCCAGAGCACTGTCGTAAGCACAAGGCCATGTCTCCCCTTCCCTACAATGGAAACCTCTTCCTCTACTTGCTGCTTTCCACTGCTCCTAAGCTGCAAAGTGAGATCAAACACAGGTCTGCATGACAAATGGGACCCTACCTCCCCGGGAGGGATTCCAACACAGATCCGGTCAACAGCTGGTTTCCTCTTCATTCTGTAAATCTGAAACCAAGAAATACAAATGAATGAGAACGTACAAACCTAGGAGGGGAGGAAAAGAGAGCAGCTGAGCCCCACATATTCTCCAAGACATCCTTGAGGCTCCCATGCTGACCCCCCTGGACTTGATGGCCCACTCTCATTGGACTTCAGTGGGACAGAACTGGGCTTTTCACCACGGCATCAAATCATATTAGCCATGCTCCTGGGGGTATTTGGGGAGCTGGCTTTGGGGTCCTCACGTGGGCACAGAACCTCGACTGGTGATTCATCCTGTTGATTTCAAAGAAGGGTCTGGCTCTGTGTCTGATTGGGGAAGACACTGTAATGCAACAGAGCGTGCCCCAGACGTGCGAGGCAGGTGTGTCTGGATGCAGACGCACTGCTGGCATTCACCTCTCCCCTGATGGAAGTCAATTGCATTTTCAGCCTCTGAATAGAATAGATCTGGGGCCGGACTCAAAATCCACTGAAATCAAAGGGAAGTCTTCTCATCGACTGCCCTGGGCACTGGATCGAGGCGGGGGTAAGCTGGGTGGGAGTGGTAGGTGGCAGACTGTCCCAGCCCCGACCTACCTAGGGCAGCACAAGCAGCGCACTCACCTTTGTCAGCTCTTTGATTTCTAGGATGTCGCTCTGCCCGCCGCCGCTAATTATCCTCTGCCTCTCCCTGGTCACGTCCTCGTCCTCATCATTCACAGGAGGCAGTTTGGCACTGACGGGCCTGCCAAGGTGGAACAAGTCACCATGTGAAAAGGAAGAGGAGAAAGGCAAGCACCCCCGGGGAATGCATGAGAAACAAGGGCAGAAAGTGGTGCTGATCTTGGCTCAGCATCCAAACAGAAGGCACCAGGGGAAGCCCCTCTGTGTTTGCAATTCAGCCCTATATGAAAGGCGAGCAAGTGGCTTCTGTCCCTCGGGGGCCTCAGAGCAAGGCCTGACCCTGCACACATCACGGCGAATGCTGATCGGTTTGGTGTCAGAGAGTCTCTCAAAGCCTCGCTGCTCAATCCAGGCCCCTGACTCCTTCGGTCTCCTGCAGGCTCCTGGGCCAATGCTTATCGCGGTGTTCACATAGCATCCTCCAAGCAAAACTGATTTCACACTAGCTAATGGTGGCTCACATTCAGAGTCTTGCAACGGACCGTAAGGTGCTTTCTTGGAGCACCTCTCACTGCATCTCAGGCTGGTCTGATTGGCTTGGGGCACGCAGGGAGATGGGTTTGATCTGGAATTTCCAAACTGGGCTAGGGAGGCACCCTTTGGGCCCATCGCTGCTGCCAGTCAGGTAGCTGGGAAATGACATATAGGGCCTGGCTGCCCAGTAATCTCCCACTGAGTTGACAGTGAGGCCACACAATGGCTAGCTGCACAACCATCAGCATTAACACAATGATTTGATCTTGCTGATTGTCCACATTGTAGCATGGGTCTTTTGCAGTCTGACTGGGCTTGCAGGCTCCTATCCTATTGTTCTGTATGTCACCGCCAAGAGCGGACCAAAGGCTTCTGTGTGTCTTTCCCCATCAGCCCACAACATTGCTGCAGGGTGCAGAGCGAGCTCACCTCGGTTTGATGAAGAACCTGTACTGGATGAGCACTGTGATCAGGAAGAAGACGACGCCTTCCACAGCCATGGCAAAGAGGTTCCGTCCCACCAGGTCCCAGGAGAGAGGGGACACAAAACGGTTCTCACCTGTTCAGAAAAGCCAAAGCACACAGTCGGCTTTGCACAGCGGCCAGAGAGACCCAGCCCGGAAGAGCTTACAGATTCGTTTTAGACAAGATGCACTGAGAGGGTGACATTAAGGGGAAAGAGAGGACACAGACAGTAAGATCGCGTGGTGACCCAATTTCTGCATGTGCACATCGTATGCTTACTATAGTGATGCTCACACATTCGTTGTGCAAGATGCTTCACATAGTTATAGCTTGAAGAGCTTACGCTCTAAATAGACAGTGAAAGGGTGCATGATCCCCAAATTACAGAGGGGAAACAAATCACAGAGAGATGAAGCGACTTGCCCATGGGCACACTGAAATCTGTGCCAGGGTAGAATGAGGTTACACCCGGCCTTCCTCTCAATTTGAGGCTGCATTTCATGTAACTAAGTCTTTGTATTTTTTAAAAATCAGCTGACTCCCTAATAAACTTAAGCTCCCTACCAGCCGAGAGCCTTTCCTTCTCTAGACCCATAAGGAACCAGACGGGTTATCTACAGGCTCAGGCCTCTGTGCGGTTTGCACTACAAACAGCTGGGCCCCAACCCTGTGAGGCACATGCCCTCAGTTCCTGGTGGTTTCATGGGGAGCAGAAGGCACTCAGCACCTCCCTGGCTCAGTTTCACTTACCAAACCTTTCCAAAGCGTCGGCCATTGCCTGATTCTTCACCATGTCGATCAGTCCCCGCCCCAGGCAGAAGTGGGGGAAGATGAGGAACACCGACTTTAGGATGTCGTTGATGTTGTTCAGCTTCTAACAGAACAAAAGCCAAGCCTAAGTCAGCCACGTGAGCAGCTTCTCTGGGCAGGGAACAAAAAGCCAGGAGATCTGACTCGCTGAGTGCGACCCATCCTGTGACTTCCCTTCCCAGCCACCACCTCTCCCAGCCCAGGTGAGACCGACAAATCTGGGAGTGGGCATAAAGGTGCCCACATACCCCACGGCACTGCTTGTACCATCACCGCAAACACAGCCCAGCGGGCTTGGAGCCCAAGCTTCGGACAATATGCTTGAGGTGAACCAACAGGGCAGGGGTCGCCATGCAGTGTCTCTGTGCCCACGACAGTCCAGATCGCCACCAGCTGCACTAATGCCAAACAGAGGTGGGATTCCCCGTTCCCCCAGCTACCAGCTCTCCAGAGGCAGGCACTGGTGTTCTTATCCCACCCCGAGGGAACGCAGCTCTGAGCTTCTCAGCACAGCGCTCAGTACCTACCAGACTCACCTCTTTTCCTTGGACTATCAATCAGAAACAGGGGGTGAGTTTTTAGCCCCTTTTCAGCCAGACACGTGAGAGGTGCTGCTGAAGTCAAAGGGACTACTCACGTTTACAGTGATGCATGCTTATGTACCTTGCTGATCTGGGGGATTCTGGGCCACATGCCGCCTTGCTTCCCCATTCCCTAGACTGTCTGCCTGACGTCACCTTCCCTATCTCTCCCCTGATCGCCAGGAGATACAGAACAGTGCGGAGCAGTAGCAGTGGGGTGGCGCGCAAGGTGTCCCTGGGAACATACGTTGTTGGTGAAGAGCTCGAGAACGAAAGTGGCCACACTGCCGTTGATGCCAATGAAGAGGTTGACGCTGGTCAGCACCACGTAGGCCGTGCTGGGGATCTTGAACACAAAGGAAGCTGGGTACATGAGCGGTGTTATGGACCACCTAGGGAGCAGGAGGACACAGTGGAAACATACTTAATCACAGCACACGAGCCGCCAGGGCCTCGCGGGACTCCTCGAGAGAGAGATGCAGCCTTACCCGTAGAGGAGGAGAAGGAGGGCCAGCGCAGGCAGGTTGGAAGAGGACACATAGGACTTCTGCTGGAAGCAGATGAAGATGATGATGACCAAGGTGGCTGGAACGACGTAGTTGCACTGGAAGGAGGAAGAAATGGCTCCAGGTTACTTGCAAAAGAAAATCTGAAGCATCTTACTGCTCTAAATGGAGGGAGACAAGGTAACAATATGGAAAGAGAACTGAAAAATAGGCCATCTGCTCAGACCATAAAATAGCACATTGCAGGCCTCTGGATATGCACAAAGGGACAGTCCTGCCCTGAAGTGCGAACAAAGTAAAGGTGGGAAGGGAAATGGGACACGACTTGCCCACGGACCCGGAACAGGCCAGCTAGCTGCAGAGCTGGGAGTCAAACCCGGGACTGCTGAGTCCCAGCTGTGGAATCTCTAGCACTATCTAACTGTCTGTCAATACCCCTGAAAGCAGGGTTCTCCCTCCCTGTAACTGCACCAGCTTAGACCAGGGCTGGTCAGCTGTGCAGGGAGGGAAATGCTGCACTGGCAGGACAGTCCAATGGGTGGAGCAGCCTGTCCAAACTCTCAGGCACCGGAACATGCCTCGCATGCATCCCTTTAGGGCAGGTAGGAGAGGGCACACAGTTCATCCCAGGGAGCCCTCGGAGGCTCTGCACCACGCCAGGGCTCAACGGGAACAAGCTGGCTGTTGTTTTGCAGTGGTGGGCGTATTAGATCCGCTGTAACACGCAGCTCCCGGGAGGCAATCTTACCATGTCCCAGACAAAGTTAGCCAGCCAGTAGATCACAGGCTTCACACCGCTGATGAACTGTAGGTGCTTGGCCTTGCTGACCCGCTCCTGGATCAAGAAGACCACAAAGCTGGCTGGGACGAAGGACATGGCGAAGATCACACAGATGGAGACTAAGACGTCCACCGACGTGGTCATCCTGGGCAAAGGGAAATCGGAGCGGCAAGAAACTGTGAGATCCGAGTCTCTCTCCCTACGGGGCCAGCGCACATCAGCACTAGAACCAATTCTGCACCCTCTCTACACAGTGGGAATACGGGTGGTAGAACGTGGCCTCCTGTCGAGCTCCGTGACAAGAGTGTGCACTACGAGGGCATCATCAGGGCCGGTGAATGACGAGAGGGCTTCCACACATGTCTAGCCACAAAGGAAAGTGTATGAGCCTTATTCTACCCAATAGCAAGGGACAAAGCCCAGCCCTGGAGCAAGGGACTAAGCCCAGCATTTTTCTAGCATTAAGCTTCAGTGTAATGCCATTGGAGAGTCAGCGGCTGAGATGTGCATGGTGGCTTAGGGGATTTAGACACCCAAGTCTCATTCATGTAATGGGAACTGGAGACGCAACTCCCAGAGGTGGCTTTGGAGAGCTCAGCCTGGAGCTCTGCAAAATCCCTGGCCAAATCTTTAGCTGGTGGCTACCATGGGCCATGTTGAGCCAGCCTGGCTCTGGCCTGCTGGCTTTTGAATCACCAAGCTACCCTCCGTTTTTTATTTATCTGCCCCATCTCCCCAACACCCATTTCTTGCAGCTTCCTCCATTGCAAAGTACTTTCTTTTCCCCTCCATTCCATTCCCCATTCCCTCCCTTTGCCCCATCTCCAGCAGGCTGCAGATCGCATTCCTACTAGGACGTACAAGGCAACCTCGGAGAGCTGCTGCTTGGTGAGGTTGAGCGGGTGATTGAACGCGGTGATCCCGTAGGCGCTGGAATTCTCGCCGTCCGGAAGGCTGGCCCGGAGGATGGCATTGTTCATCACGTTCAGGAAGGCGCCAATGGCATGCCAGCCTTTGTTATTGAACCACACCTGAAAAGCAACGCACTAGCATCAGAAGGGCTGCTGGCTATGCCTACTGCTCCCCAGGCTACCTCGTGTCCAATCTGACAAGGGCAGCATATAGCATCACTTTGGTTCACATGAGGAAACTGGGATGGTCATAAAAACAATGAGCAGTCCTGTGGCACCTTAGAGACTCACAAAAATATATACAAAATCTGCAAAATATATCAATAGCATCATGAGCTCGCAAAAATATATAAAAATATACAACATATATAAATAGTATCATGATCTTTCGTGGGTGTGTGCTTGTTTAGTTAGTCTCTAAGATACCGCAGAACTACTCATTTTTAAAGTTATAGACAAACATGGGTACCCCTCAGAGAAGGATGTTCATGGATCCCTAAACCCATGTGAATGGAGGCATATGCCCCAGGTACACTGGGGAAGCACAATCCAGGGCTCCTGGCTGGCAACAGGTCCATGCCACAGTCTCCTCATTTCCAAGCCCCTGGCATGCACAGACTTTGGACAGGGCTCCAAGAGGCCACTCTCTCCTGGAATCTCCTACACAGGGCGGGCGCTGTGGGCAAACGATTCCGGCACAGAGCCCTCTGCTCCGAACACCTGTGGCGTGCCAGTCGCTGGTTTGCCAGGCAAGGCCCTTGCTGTAACTATGAGGCCCAGCAGTAGGCAGGTCGGATTTACCTTCACGTTGTTTTTCGTGTCCATCCCTTTCATGAAGCTTTCCAGGCTGTTAAGAAACTGGTCTCCGGAGCTCCCCTGTGAACAGCACCCAACAACACATTTGTTTCATTCCTCACAGCACAGTGCAGCGGACACCTTACTTACGGGGTTTGCTTTGCCACAGATTGCTGGCACAACCTGAGGCGAGCGACTGACGTTGGGCGTGGGGATTGGGAAGGGTGGCCCGGTGCTCGGAGCCTGCTCCCTCACCATTCTTCCCGCCTGACTCCAAAGCTTGCAGGAAGCTGAGAACGCCCCCGGAAACTCCAGCCCTGTCTTTTGTGTAGTAGTAACTAACTGCCACAACCCTACACAGCTTTCCTATTACAGCAGCTCTCAGAGACACGGTGTCCCAAATGCCGAGCCTCCCAAGAAAATCAATAGCCTAGCCTTCTTCCCGAGCCAAGTGCAGAGAGACAATCCGAGGCGCCTTGATTCTCTGAAGCAGCTGCACATCCCTGGCATTGCTTAGAGCAGTGGAGAGGCTGCTCTAACGTACGCCAAGCTCTCGATGGGGAACAGGGGCCCTCTGCGCCCGCTCTGTGCCATCTGAGAGTAAGGGTGAGCTGAGCTGTTCAGATCCAGCTGCTCTCTGGCTGCTCTGCACTATGACAGAGGGACCAGAATGAAAAAGAACATCTGGATTGATATTTGTTTTCTGTTCTCACATTGTGGGTTCTGAGACACCCAACTCACTGCCTGCTCTCTCGCAAAATCTGAGCCATGCCAGCTGATAGCAGCTCTAGTTTTTCTGTGGCTTTCCCACTGACATGAGTAGAGGCTTACTGGGGTGACAAGGGAGAAAGCCAAAGTAAGGACTTCAGGATTTGCTCCTCTTTAAGTCAGCTTCCCAACTCCCCTTCAGGTTGATATGATCCGGCACTGAGAGCCCTCTGTTACCAAAAGGTTCCTCTGACTTCGAAGAATGACTTCTCCCACAAACACTGTTATCCAGTGTCTGGCCCATTTCTCGCAAGCAAAGGAAACTCTTATTTTTAGAGCCAAAGGTCGCAAGGATTCAACACTTGCTGGTGAGACAACCCCTCTCCCTCACCCCCAGACAGCAGCACATCGTGGGCCCATATGAAATTGCTCTTCACCTTGGCTAGCTCCAAGATTTTTTTCATTTGCTTGATGGCATCGCTGACTTCATCGCTGGGCGGAAGGAGGAGGGAGCTGCTGGCGCCCACTGAAAAGCCACCATACCTGAAAGCAGACAGACGGAGTGACAGTGAAGCACAGGCTGACTCGAGAGGGTCCTCCATAAAAGGCCTTTTTTTCATGCCCTGTGGCTTTGAGCTTGCTGCTCTGTGCTAGGATCTCCCACTCTCAGAGTCAGGGTTTCAGGGACAACCTGAAGTGTGGATCTAAGTGTCCACTGGATGGGAGCCTCTGGGGTGTTCACACAGTGCTCGAGCTCTCGTAAAAAACAAGACACCGACTTGCTGGGCTCTCCGAGGTGACAGCAAGTCACTCAGGCGTATTCCGCCCAGAAGATTTGTGGTTCATTCCCCCAAACAAAATTTAATAAGTAACCGATGGCCTTTCCGCACTGCAGGCCAACAGTGCTTGTGGGATTGGGCCCTTGGCTTGCTGCAGTTTGCCTGCTGCTACAGCCTGGGGCTAGGGAAAGGCTCAGTGATCACACATACTATTTCTATTGCAATGCCAAAAACAACCCTTCCTTTGAACTCTTTCGAGTGGGTTTCAATTTTGGAGCAATATTGTCGGATGAGCTCCACTCAGTCCGTTCCTGAGCCCCAACCCACCAGAGGAAAGGACAGAAACCTACCTGAACTCATTCACCCAGATCTTGTTCCTTAAACTGCGGAGGAAAGAGCAGAAAACAAGGCTGTTATTTACTGGAGGGGCCATCAGTCAGAGCTTCCCTCCAGCCCTATGGACACTGATTGCAAGGAAACGGTAGCGCATTAGTGGCTGGGGGACAGATTAACTCTTTCAGTAATGCCAGGGGCCTCTGCTGCGCTACCCCACTGAGGAGTCTGCCTTCCTATAGCACCTCCCAGCTCAGTGCTCTGCCCACTGCTCCACACTGCCTTGGCATTGGATCTAAAATAGAGATGGATCTGAGTTGACACTGGCATCTGAGCCACTTGTGAAATCAGCTGAGCCCACCACTAGTCCAATGTCCAATACGCTGCCATTGTGCCACGAAAGAGTGGGAAAATCAGAAGCTGCTTAGCAAACTTACTAAGGGTGGGGGTGGATTCTCCATCAGTGACAAATCTGAAATCAAGATAGGGCTTTTCTCTAAAAGCTCTGCCCTACGGATTAATTCAGGGCAGGTCTCAGGCCTGTGTTAGGCCACGTCTTTGCTCCGTGGAAGATTGATGCTGCCACAATCGATCTTCCGGAGTTTGATTTGGTGGGTCTAGTTAAGACTTACTAAATCAAACTTAGAGGGCACCCCTGCCGGCTTCCTTTTGTGAGAAGTAAGGGATGCCAACTGGAGCATTTCCTCCCATCAGCCTCCTTCTCTGGGGACGCCGCCCAGCTTGACTTTAGGTAAGCCGACTCCAGCTACGTATTCTACATAGCTGGGGTTGTGTACCTTAAACTGAGCTGCTGGGTCTTGTGTAGACCTGGCTGTAGACAGTTACAATGGCCCTTTCTGGCTCTCTTGTGTATGAATTAAAACAGGAAGGGATGCAGCAGTTTCTGGCCATGTTTTAAAGGCTTCGTGTTTTACTGCAGGAAGCAAAATTTCAGCCAGCCGAGTGTCTTGGTGGAAATGCTGCCTGCTAATTCGGGCTTCCATGCGTCAGCCACAGAGAATGACCAAAGTGAGTGCGAATCGCGGGAGCTGAGCCAAAGCCCATTGAAGTCCCGGGATTGATTCTCACTGGCTCAGCCTCAGGCCCTGCGAGGTGACCAGGGAGCTTTGCCCAGGTGGGTGTAAGTGCGTCTAAATGGGTCTGAGTGCCAGGGAAGCTAAGCAGGGGTGGGCCAGGAGAGCACAAATTGACCTGCAGAGCCCCCAGGGAGTTATGTGGAGACCTGGGCTCTGCACGGGGTGAGTAGCAACCCCTAGAGAACAACAGGTGTGACAGGCACCTTTTCCCGATGATCTGCGCGTAGGTCTTCACCAGATAGTCGGAGATGTTCCGGCCCGTCAGGTTCTGCAGCGTGTCCCCCGTTCTCTGTTCTCTCTGGCGCCACAAGAAAAGCAGACAGACTTGGAAGTGAGCAGGTTTTCAGACTCGGCTTCACGCGTATCCCCACCAAAAGACCCAGCCCCGCCGCCCGCTGCCCTGGGACCGCTCCTACCTGCGGAGGAGGAAGCCCCCCTGCCCCCGGAGGGCACACAGGCAGCATTTTCTTGATCTTCTCATTGCTGCATTCGCAGGCCGGGGAGGGGTTCTCCATGGTCCAGTTGCCATTGAGGAAGATGTCCAGGACCGTGTCAGGGACAGGGGCAGTGGTCCACCGATCCTCTCCGACCAGGCAAGGGGTGTCTCTGCAGGGAGGCCACAGCCACAGCAAATGCAACTTGTTATAAAGACAGGCCAGTGCACTAACTCCTATAAATAACCCACACGCCCACCGAAATCAACAGCCAAACTCCCCCGACCTTGCCGGGCTGCTGCGGAAGACCAAGGGAAATCTCTTGGTGACTCCAATGGGAGTAGAGTCGGGCCAACGCTGGGCACTTTGGACAATCCCCCCCCACCATTATCACTCCTTTGGAGCAGGCATGGAGATACCCTGGCCCAGGGTAGCACCGGGAATCTCGGAGCTGCCGATTGTGCAGGACGAGTGCAGCTGCTACTACACAACTCTGCAGGGTGCAGCTAATTCCTTTCCCTGCCCCATCGCCTGAAGTGTGGGGCAAGGAGCTCTGGCCCCATCACCATCCTACCCTGTTTGGGGCGGTGGCTGTCGTTCACAGAAGGGCTGGTGGCGGGGTGGGTGGGATGGTTCTTTGTGCCTTCCTTCCAAGCACAATCTGGCCCTAAATGACTTGCCCTAAGCCAGGCACCCACGTCCACAGCAGAGCCTGTCTCCTAGCCCCCCATCCTGCCTGCTCACAGCGAAGCAGGCAACTGTGGGAGCAAAACAACTAGCCCAAGCCAAAAGGTGGCCAGTTTTGCTTTTCTTTTCAAAGCCAGAATCCCATGGGCAGCTCGTAACTTGGGGAGCCCCCTCACGTCTCTCCCCACCTCCAGGCTATGACCGTTCCCAGCATGCTGCCGGCGGGGAGCACTAGCAACGGCCTGGGAAACCCGTGGGGGGAGGGGTGGAAGAGAGAAGGAAAGAGGTTGTTTTCGCAGGACACGACTGCTCCCCTTTGGGCTCCGTTCTGCCCTGCGGAGTGAGTCGCTCCCGCTCACAGCAATGAGCTGCAGGAGAGAGAATCTGGATCCTCCAGGTCTGGGTCAATACGAGGCAGGGCGTGAGCCTGCAAGCCTGGCTCATCTGAGTGCACCCGCTGCCATGCCAACAAGGGATGCAGCCACAAACGAATCCTTCAGTACAACCTAGGAGGCAGCCAAGGGGACTATACCCGTGAAGAAGGCGCTCCCATGTGCTGGGGTCCGGCCTTCTGCTTGATATTTCATAGGATCCTAGAACTAGAACTGGAAGGGGCCTCGAGAGGTCACAGAGTCCAGTCCCCTGCCCTCATGGCAGGACCAAGCCCCGTCTAGATCATCCCTCTTAGGTGTCTGTCCAACCTGCTCTTCAATATCTCCAGTGATGGAGATTCCACAACCCCCCTAGGCAATTTATTCCAGCGTTTCACCACCCTGACAGGTAGGAAGATTTTCCTAATGTCCAACCTAAACCTGCAATTTCAGCCCATTGCTTCTTGTCCTATCAGAGGCCAAAGAGAACAATTTCCTCCCCTCGTCCCTGTGACACCCTTTTATTTCCCCAAGCTGATCACTGCTGCTGCTTCTAATTAACCACTGCCATTGCGATAATACAACCACCGTTCCCATCGCGGTGAGGTGACAACCCCTGCGGGCCGATGCTGAGGCTGGTGCGAATGGCGGCTGTGATTTGCGTGACACACGTTAGCAATAACAAGTGGCTTAGAAAAGAGAGAGCTGCCACTGCTCGGGGGCTACGTACGGAATGGAGTGTCCTTCCATGCAGCGGGTCCCAAAGCCGGGCTCATTGAGAAGACTGTTCAGGAGCTTCTGGGTGCCAGCATCGTCCGGTGCGTCATTGCTATGGGCACAGAGAGACACAGTCAGGGCCACAAGGCGTGTGTAGCAAAACCAGCAATGTGGCAGCACAGAGACACTGGTACGAGGGTAGGAAAAGGAACAGGGTGGGACGTTTCCTTTGTAGAATGTTCTCTCTCTCTCGCTCGCTCACACACAAAGTACTGGAACTTCTGGAAAGGGCTTGGGAGACTTTTAGCTGATTTTCTCTAAGACTTCGCAAAATGCTCTAAGATCGATGGATGAAAAGTCACCGTGTTCCCTTTAGTTTTTTTTCTCTCCGCGTGCAGAATAAATTGTATGTGCACTGAGGTGTGTATGGACGCGCACCACCCGTTGAAACACAGACTGCTGGCTCTGAGCCCTCTGCCAATCAGCTGGGGGACATTTGACTCTCTGAAGGGAGGCCACACAAGTGCACAGCTTGTAGGGAACACTCAAATAGTATTATATTCCTCCAACCTTTCAAACTCACTCTTATTTGGAGCCTGCCTTGTTAAAGCTACAGAGGCAAAACAGTGTCTTATCCTTTGTACCGCACTTTGCAGCTACTCTCACAAATGCACATTGTCAGGTGACGAGACTGTAACAATGACTAGAGAAAGCAGAGCTTTAAGATGCAGCTACAGAGTCCTGTTTAACATTTTCTGGTCGTTGGAAAAGTACCTGATAAAAGTGTACTGCTCATCGTACATCCAGGGCTGCAGTTCCAGGCTGGGGTATTTCCCAAAGGGGGGCACAATCAGGCTGAACATGAGAGCAATGCACACAAACACGGCTGGCAGCACGATCTGAAATCAAAAGGGAAGAGGCAGAGTGACCTTTCAAAGGCCTTGTCTCTACTTATGCGGAAGGTCGAATTAAGATACACAACTCCAGCTACATTATTTGCATAGCTGGAGTCGACGTACCTTAATTTGACCTTCGGCACTGTCAGCTGGAGGTCGATGGGAGCAAATGCACCCGTCGGTTTCCCTTACTCCTCGTGAATCGAGGAGTAGCGGTGTCTATTGGGGAGCCCTCAGTGTTTGATTTAGCAGGTCTTTACTAGACCAGCTATATCAAACTCCGGAAGATCGATCACCACAGCATTGATCTTCCTGGAAGTGAAGATGTGGTCAAAGAAGTGTCCTCACAGGCATTAGCCACCCAGGGGGATGCACATAAACCATACAGAGACACTGACAGAAATGGGCCATGTTTTAGTGACCTCTGCAGGAGGGGCCGCATGGACTCACCTGGGCAAAGAAACCCTTCCTGCTACGTTTGGCAACAAGCAGCCTCTTCCACAGCAGAGCTACGAACTGCTGCTGGGTGAGCTTCCAGCCCTTCATCTGGTAGGAGCCTTTCCCATCCATCCCACTCAGCAGGTCTGTCTCTCTGGATTCTGCTGACACAAATGACAACTCTCACGCACACGGAAACAAGAGTCAACTTCCTTCTCCCTCAGACGCCACTCCTGCTTGTGTAGACTGGACCCTGGAGGTCGCCCATGTTCTTGCTGCTGTGTCTCAGATCCGCTCTGAGCGGGATCAGGCAATGTGGTGCTTAGAGCCACCAGCAGAGCCGAGTCCGGGGTCGCACTGGCTGGAGTAAAGCCTAGTGCGTACGGTCTTTGAGATGGCTGAGGGAAGCCGATTCCAGAGCCATTGGCTCCCCACTGAGAACTAACCCAGAGGTATTCAAATCAAAGGGCTTTAGCCAAAGTCCCCAGCTGCTCTGGACTGCCACAAAGGGTATGGTGGGCAGTGGGGCAAGGTCTCTCATGAATATGCACCAGCGTGTTTATCTTTCTGCCTCGTGGTGTGAGGGTGGATTCTACCCATACTGAGGCTGAGCCTTTCCAAACCACCTTCAGACTTGCCTGTCATTGATTGCCAAAGGGAACCGGGCATGTGAATCCACTGGAAACCTCGCCCTTTACAGTCAGTTGACTAAACCTTCTCAGGCACGGACGTGGGCCAGACAGACATGCCAGCTCTGAACGTCTCCAGACACTGAGGAACGTTCTGCCTTAGTGGAACTTTTCAGACCAGGTCCATCTTTCACTAACAGGCAAAGGTGTATCAGCTATTTAACCTGAGGACTAAGGATATAAACTTGGCCTTAAGGAAGGGCAGATGAATTTCAAAGAGCAGGGGAATGTTGATAAAACAGCAGAGATCCAGCAACACTTGGACAGAGAAAGTCCCTGCTTGCATTACTGTGGACAGGTCACGTTTCCATATTCTAGATGTCACTCCAAGGGGCACTTCTAGATCATAAAATGACCTGACCCAGTATCCACGGAAATCAGTGAAAAATCTGAATGGGGTTTGGATCAGGGCCTACATCTGTCCCCTTCAGACAGACGGTCTCATCATATTCATGCATTAGATTCTGCAGGGCTATCCCTCGAGTCCCAGAACGAGCCAGGGTATCTATACATAAACAAATGGCGTTCCTCTCACGTTGGCCCATTCAGGAACGCAGGGAGCAATAAACATCCTGCATGGGACAGAGCATTCCCAGTTAAGTGTGTCAGGAATTCTAACACAGTCCCAGAAACGCAGGAAAAATTAAGAGGCCATTTGCTGGAAGGAATTTAAGTGACACCCAGAAGTCTTCAGGGAAGTTCCTTTAAGTGCCCTCAGATTATCTAGTTTCAGTTGCATTGTGATTCACGTAACAGCATGAGCCACAAACACATTTCAAGCACAGACAGACTGTTCAGATTACTGCACCCTGGCCCCTTCCGTCTTTACCTGGGTCTATGTCAGAATCATTGGGGTCAAAAGCATCGTCTTCAGTGAATGGATGCAGGCAGCTCTGTCGGTCTCCAAAAACACGCCTGTTCCTTCTTGCAGGTAAGGTGCCATCTGGAGAGGATAGCACACGCTAGCAGACTTGCTCAGGTCAACAAAGGCAACCAAGAACTCTATCCTTCTGTGAGCCCCAAACGCTGGGAATTCAAGTGTCACCAGCAAACGACTGCATGAAAATCTTCAGCGCATATTGGCTTTCAACTGTTAAGCAGTACCCAGATGCAGCTGCGAACTGCCTCTGAGCACCAGTCCTGGAAAAAGCACCACACGCCTTTGCATGGAAGGTGCAAAGGGGAGTTCCCCATGCACCTGTTTTTCATATAGGCTGTGTCTAGACTGCATCCCTTTTTCGTAAAAGGGATGCAAATTAGACACATCGCAATTGCTAATGAAGCGGGGATTTAAATCTCCCCCGCTTCATTTGCATAAAAATGGTTGCCGCTTTTTTCTGGCTCGGAGCTTTGCTGGAAAAAAGTGCCAGTCTAGACGCGGATCTTTTGGAAAATAAAGCCTTTTCCGAAAGATCCCTTATTCCTCATATTAAGAGGGATAAGCTCCGAGTCAGAAAAAAGCGGGAGTCATTTTTATGCTAATGAAGCAGGGGAGATTTAAATCCCCACTTCATTTGCAATTGTGATGTGTCTAATTTGCATCCCTTTTACGAAAAAGGGATGCCATCTAGACACTGCCATGGTGTCCAAGGAACTTACTTTTAAGGACCCTTCAAATGTCCTGGTTTTTCATTTATCAATTAAAATGTTGAAGGCAGTTTTAATCCTAAAATGCTCCTTCAAGATGTATTGTTACACCAAACAGAATTTGCTCTGTGTTTCCCAGGGACAAACAATCTATTGGAACAAATGTTTGGCGTGAAGAGCAGCATTCGGAGTGAAAAATCAAATGAACAGACATGTCAGAGCTGATCATTTGCTCAGAAACTTACTAAATGATGCATATTCAATGTTTCATGATCAACTCATTCAGATACCAAGTTACCGGAACAAATCCTCCATTCCAAGAAATCTGTGCACGTGTCTTCACACGCGGTAACGACACTAGCAAAGATTTTAACAAGGCGTCCTTGTCACTGGCTATTTTGTGACCTTAGAAAAGTCAGCACTAAAGTGTTCCCGTTTCCGATTCTAAAAATAATTTGTGTGGCATCTTTCACTTCTGGCTTCTACTCCAGCACAAGAATTATTATTTTACAGATGGAAAAAGCAACACCCAGGGAGGTCAACAGATTTGCCCAAAACTATAGTATGTGTAAGGGGCAAAGTGGGAAACAGACCTCAGATCTGCTAAACTCCATCCCTAGCTCTAACCACATGATGATTCTACTTGCCCAAGGGCTTAATTCCTTGCCTAGGAATTTCTATCAGTTGAGAATTTAATCTCCTGTCAGCTGTCTGTGTGTGTAAGGGATCCCCATGTACAGATCGAGGCTCCTTTGCTAATGCAGCCTTGACATGATGGTACTAACCTGAGGTCTCTGCATCCACCCCATTATCTTCAGCCACTTTGAGAAAGATCTGACAGGCAAAGAGAGGTTAAACAAAAAATTATGAGTGGTCTGATGCAGCAGTAATGTGCGGCTTGATGTACCACAGGAGAGCCAATGACTCCAGTACAGAAGGCAGTATATCAATATGAGGGGCTTTATGGGCTATTCCCTGCCTAGAGCAGTGGCTCTCAACCAGGGGCATGTGTAATCCGTGGTCTTCTAGGGGAGACATCAATTCATCCAGATATCTGCCTAGGCTTAGAACAGGCTATGTAAAAAGTGCTAATGAAGTCTGTACAAAGTAAAATTGCATTGACATGGATTTGTTTACACTGCTCTGTATACCATACACTGACATGTAAGTACATGGTTGAACCTCTCTAGTCCGGCACCCTCGGGACCCAACCAGTGCCAAACCAGAGAATTTGCCAGACTATGGAAGGCCAATATTATCTAGCGCCATTACCAATGCTTCCCCTGCTCACTGGGCTCTTAGAAGACAGATAGGGGTAAATTAGAGCTAAAGAACAGCACAGAACACTGAGCCCCACAACTGGTGGCTGTAAACAAACTTTATGGGACTGCGGGGAACTTGGCCACGCCCCTGATCGGTGGACATCTGGCTCACTACAGTCACGCTGGACCATGGATGTTGCTGGACCAGACAGTGCCAGACTAGAGAGGTTCAACCTGTAATTATATTCCAACTGATTTACTTTATAATTACACGGTACCAATGAGAAAGTCGCCGTTTGTCAGCCACGGTGTCCTGTGACATGTCCGTATTTTTATGTCTGATTGTAGAAGTTTTTAAGGGAGGTGAAACTTGGGGTGCACAAGACAGATCAGACTCCTGCAAGCGGTACCGTCATCTGGAAAGGTTGAGAGCCACTGGCCTGAAGCCACTTCGAATATAACCAGTGTGACACCTGAGGATTTGGCAGCCCTCTGATTCTGGTTGCTGAGGTTGGGCCAGTATCTTTTTCTTGTAGGGCCAGGGGGGTAAGAGAACACATGTCCTATTAGCTCCTGCTTAGAATGGCATGGGGCATATTTTATTTGTGCACTGCGGACAGGATGGAGCAGCCATTAACAACTGACCACTCGCTCCTGAGTGGGGAATCAAACCGGGAGGAAAGGGACACTAGCAGAGATCACCGGGATGGGCCCATTAGGCATGTGCTGCGGAAGGGCTTGTGATTTCACACAAGGCTGTGACTCAGCCAGGGGGCGAGCAGCCGAAAGGCAGAAGACTGAAGGCAGTGCAGGAATCCACTCCGCCACCTCGGGCACTGGCACGAGGTGAGGGGCACATGGTCTAAGCTCTCAGAACAGCGCCAGCTCACATACCTCCTCCAGCGTCGTCTCCGAGATGCCGTAACTGGAAATGCCCAGGTCGGAGAGACGGTCATCGATTTCATGGAACAGCTCCACAAACGCGCCTTCTCTGGCAGCTTCGTACGGCAAGACGTAGGTTAGCTCATGGCCAATGTCCTCTACCAGCCTCGCCTCAGGAACGTGCTTCATAATGAGGTTGGAGATAACAGAGACGTCTGGAGGAACCAAAACACAAGGTGCCTGCCTTGTTACTCTGCAGGTGACTGGCGATGCCAATTGCAGGGACTAAGGACACAGCCTCAGCAGAACTGTATACAATCCGCTGAAAGGTCAGGTACAGATCCCCAGCAGCTATTTCTATTTGCAGCATCTCTGAGGACACAATCAACAGCCTTGCAAGCCACGTTACGTGAATATGCTCTGTGCAGTGCTACCACCCTGGCCCTTCAATTCTGGTCTAGTTCTGTCGGTAGGGGAAATGCCGTAAGCTTCAGCACTGTGCGTACGTTATGCTTTGCAAGTACTAACTGGTCCTCAAAACCCCAGCAAGAGACTGGTAGGGCAATGCTGTTATCCCCATTTTACAGATCGGGAGACAGAAGCACAGCGGGCGAGTGAGTTGCTCCAGACCAGAGCGATAAGATTCAATCTCCTACGTGCCTTTTCCAGCCCTTACCTATCGTCAGGGTGTCACTTTCATGGTCACTGCCAAGTCCCGCATCTGAACTGCTCTGGGAGACACTGTCGTCCTAGGTACACAGGAAAGGAGGAGAACATAGTAAACTGGATCCAAAGGCAGCCAGCCATCTGCTGCCCCCTCTTTCTAACATCATCCGGAGAGGCCCAGCAATCTGGATGCTTGAGGAAGGGGCTGTCGCACGGAAGATCTTAGTGTTGTTGACTGTGACAAAGGGCTGGGATGAACAGTACCGTTAGAGGCTGTAAGAGGAGATGCCGATATTAGGAGGGATGCATTTAATCTAGTCAGGCCAAAACGCAAAGCTGCCAGCCCTGGCATTAAAGACTCCATGCAAAGAGGCTGTCATGGAGGCCAGCCTCCAATGCAGTGGTTTAACCAGACCCGATGGCAGGCGCAGGACCGAGGTAGGTACAGCTTCTGTGCACTGCTAAGGGATTGCTTTTCGCCTCTTTGACTGCATCGCCGCACCTCTCCGCTGCTGTTTTTTGGCAGCCTTCCGACGTGGTGGAAGGGGAAAGGAGAAAGGAAGTGGAGAGCCACGACAGGACCGCTACCTTTTTCAGGTACGACACCGTGCTGCTGCTGTTCCGGCAGGAGCTCAGCGACGAGTCCACGTCCTTCTTGACCAGGGTCAGGTAATAGCCTGTTCCCAGCTGGTTCTTCAGGAAGAGGGAAGAGCCAACGCAGCACAGCTTGCCGTGAGAGATGATGGCGATCCTGTCCCCCAGGATGTCGGCCTCGTCCATGTGGTGCGTGGACAGAATGATGGTGCGGCCTGTCAATAAAAGAAGAGAAGACGAACACCGATGAGTTTGTAACTCAGCCATATCCATAGCGGATGGGAGTTGCAACCTCTCTGCCCTACCTGTACTGCTAAGAGTCCCTGGTCTGAGAGGCGATGGGACGGAAGACGTTAACAACTACTGCTGCCTTGATTCTCTCCTCTCTTTCATGGCTCAGTCCCCAACCTATTTGTATCGGCTTGTCTTGGTACGCATTTGCAGTGCTAGGAATGGAACCAGTGCAAGCCACACCACCACCAAGTGGACATGCAGCGATCCAAGCAGTGTAAGATGCGGTGCATTTGAATGCCTGACTCACCAGGCCCTGGAGTGAGGGATGAGATTTCAGTGCACCAACAAAAGGTGCCCACTGATTACAATGAGGGCTTTGCCCCAGTGAAGACGGCCAGGGTCAGCTTCTCATCTGAGCTATGACCCCCCTGGAGTTACGCCAGATGTACACCCGTAAGAGTGAAGCCAGAAGTTGCCCTCCTAAGCCCCTTTCCCCAGGGGGAAGTGTCCCCAGAACAGCACTTGCTCTTGAGCGTGGACATGCAATTAAAGAGAAGGGGGTGTCATATGGAGACTGCAAAGAGGGTTTCCTCAATAGGGGATGCAAGTGTCTGGCTGCCCTGAGAGCAGTCACCTCTGGGGCTGTTTGCTGTGGTCTTGTACCATGGCACCCAGTGATTTGCAGTGGCACATTAGTAACGAGTCGCTCATGCAGCAAGCAAAGGTAGAACAATGCGCTTTATCTTAGCCACCCGGGACCTTTTGCTTCCAGCCGTAACTGGGTAGAAGGGCAGATACCTTGGCGATACTTCAGAAGCAGCTCCCAGATCCCTCGGCGAGAGTAAGGATCCACCCCTGCTGTTGGCTCGTCCAGAATGACCACCTTTGATCCCCCCACGAAGGCCAAGGCCACCGACAGCTTCCTCTGCATGCCACCTGCCAAGCGAGAGAAGGATTCAGGCTGGAGGAGAGCGAGCTGTGCCGGACGGTGCCGTGGGAGAGACGGCGAGGGGGCGAGCGCCAGAGCCCCCGCCCTCTGAACACAAATGCCTTCCGAAGCCACCTGTGCACACAGCTGACATGAGACCCGTGAAGGGCTGGCGTGGCCGGACCTACCCGAGAGTTTGCTGGTTCTCGCTTTGAGTTTGTGAGGCAGGCCAACATCCGTCACCATCTGCTGCATCTCCTCTTTCACCTTTTTTTCTGACAGCCCTTTCAGGCGAGCGTAGAACCAGATGTGTTCTTCCACAGTCAGCCTGTGGGTAGGGAGCAGAACCAGAAGGGCGCTACCTTCAATTGAACTCATTACAGAAACCATGCTTATAGAGACAGGAATATATTGCACCAGGCTAGGATTTTTGGAAGCGACAAATGATTTTGGGGACTCAACCTGGGACCCCTTAACAGGAACCTGACAGTCAGAGGGAAAGTGCTGGATTAACTGCTTGGACTCCCAAACACAGAGACACCAAAATCATCAGTCGCTTTGGACAATTTTGGCCTTTTCTTTTCAATGATGGAAGAAACAGTTTCTAAAAAGGAAACTGGGCCAGTGGTCTCAATAGAAGTGCAAGGAATTGCAGAAAGAACACCGATCCAGCTAAGAATAAAACAGAACCTACTTCTGCCCTGCTATGGGTTCTGAATACCTCCATCTCTGAACTATCCCTGGCCACATGCACAAACAGCACCTGCGGGGTGGAAGTAACCCCCAGGGTAAGGCATGTTCCCGGGTTTGATCCCAAGGGGTGCAGTGTTTCCCATGCAACACCAACAACCCTCATCTTCCATTGAATATTATGTTCCAGATCCGCAGTTGTAACCAGTCCACTCAACTGAGCTATGCTGATTTAAAGCACCGAGGAGCTTGCCAAACATGGTACATGTGAGCATCCTGATTCTTGGTTCATACCCATTCACCATATATTGGAGCTATTTCATTGCTCCACTGCCTTCAAACAGCAGCCTTTACGCCTCTTGTGAATGATATGAACCTAAGAACGGCCATACTGGGTCAGACCAAAGGTCCATCTAGTCCAGTATCTAGTCTTCTGACAGTGGCCAATACCAGATGCCCCAGAGGGACTCATCAAGTGACCCCTCTCCTGCATCCATTTCCAGCCTCTGACAGAGACTAGGGACATCATTCCTACCCATCCTAGCTAATAAGTATTGATAGACCTAATCTCCATGAATGTATCTAGTTCTTTTTTGGAACCCTGTTAAAGTCCTGGTCTCCACAACATCCTCTGGCAAGGAGTTCCACAGGTTGACTGTGGACACTTACCTCTACTTCCAGACACATAGTCACTAGCCACTGCCTCACAGAGTAGCTCTGACTCACACAAGTCTGTGAGAGACCAGCAGTGGGCCCAGCGCCCTAGAAGGTGTCAATGTCAGAAAACTAGACAGGGAACCCGCGATCAATTTTAAATAAACCCGCACACCTTTCTGCTGTGTGTTCCAGACCCCGTCTCTGCGTTTCCCGGCTGCTACTCACATGTCAAAGAGGACATTGTGCTGGGGACAGACGCCCAAGTTCTGCCGGATGGTGCTGAGCTCGGAGCGGATATCTCTGCCCAGGATGAAGGCCGTGCCCGAGGTCGGAGGAAATAAGCCCGTTAAGATGGACCTGAAGGACAAATGCAGCACAGGGTAAGTACTCTCCGAAATGTCACAGCACGATCCAAACCCAAGAGGAGGCTGGTTCCACATGTGCCAGGGAATGATAGGGTAACGGCTAGGAGAGGGTCTTGGGGAAGTCCCGTATCATGGGATCACTCCTTTAAGGAAATCAGAAAAATCTCTCACACAAGAGCTTTTGGTTTTAAAGGGAGCTGGACTGAACCACAAAATGTTGGTCCTGTGGGAGAAAAGTATCCTCCCTAAAAGCTTGTAATGCTTTCAGAACTCATGTCCTTCTTCTGATAAAGTAGGATCACAAAGGGAGCTACCCAAAAGGGCTGCTGACACTGTACCGAGTCAGCCATAGCTTTGATCTGGCACTGCGACCATTCACTGGCAACAAACGGTTCCATTCCCCGATATCAGGGTATTCCATGGGCCAGAGTCTCAGCAGGTGTGAATCCGCATCACTCTCCCGAAGCAGCAGAGGCACACAGATTTACACCGGCCGAGTCTCTGTCCTTGCAGTTTTAATCTATGCAGCCAGCCGCACACCTGTATTAGGTTGTCATGCTCAGCAAAACCACAAGGGCTCAGAACCTCTCCTCAGAGCTCCTTCCCCACTCTTAAAAATATTGCCCTTACATAGTGGTGGTCTTCCCAGCTCCATTGTGTCCCAGAAAGGAGGTGATCTGCCCCTCATAGAAATTCAGTGTCAGCCCGTCCACAGCCACCTTCTTGCCATCACGATAAATCTTCACCAGGTTCTGAATGGAGACCCCCAGGCTAAGGTGCGAGGGTTCCTCCTCCATGCAGTCTGCGAGAAGACAAAGCAATCAGCAAGGCAGCGTAGAACAGGCACCGATATTAATACCCGTCTTTCCATGGCCGATGAGGACCCACAGTGACTTGGAACCTCTAGGGAGCTTTTTAATATTCCTTCCCAGGGTGGAATCCCTGCATGGAGGTTGACATAAGCGTGGCAGTACTTAATTCTTTGGAGGCCAGATGAAAGGGCCTGACCCAATGCCAGATATAGCCGGGGAAAGGGATCCACTGACTCCAGCCAGGCCAGAGAGGAGAGGACCCAGTCCTGTGAGAGACAGCTCACTGGTTCATGCCTCGATGCCAAAGGAGAGTCCAACCCTGCCTGCCTTGATTGGGCAAGATTTCCAGTGATATGTGTAAACATAAGAATGGCCATACCGGGTCAGACCAAAGGTCCATCCAGCCTAGTTCCCAGTCTGCCGACAGTGGCCAATGCCAGGTGCCCCAGAAGGAGGGAACAGAAAAGGTAATGCTCACATGATCTCTCCCGTCCCCCACCTCCAGAGAGGCTAGACCTCCATTCCTACCTATCCTGGCTAACATGGGCCTAACCTCCATGAATCGATCTAGCTCTTTTTTGAACCCTGTTAAAGTCCTAGCCTTCACCACATCCTCTGGCAAGGAGTTCCACAGGTTGACTGTGCACTGAGTGAAGACAAACTTCCTTTTGCATGTGGGTGTTTTTATGGCACAATCACACTCCCATTCTGTTCATTATCCACCAAACGAAGAGTGACTAGGACAGAAGCAGCTTTAATTTCCCAATGTCCTTTCACCCTGCCCCTACTCAGAGCAAGTCCCCACCTTCATTCATTTAATCCCAAGCACCTGCCTTCTGGCCCCACGCAGCGCAGACACTTACTCTCCGAGGGCCCTTTGTGCTCCGGGCGAGTGTGCCTCCTCTCCTCAGACTCCTCCCCGCACCAATAGGACTTCGTGAAGGGGAAGTACCAGGGCCTGGGAATTCCATACTGGCCTAAACAGAGAGGAAAACAGCCGTGTGAGCCCAGCAAAATCCGCCCTAACGTCTCTCCATTTAAAGGGGCCGGGCAGGTACTCAAGGGTTGCATCTCCTGCTGTCAGGCCCCGGAGAGCAGCAGCACGCGTGCGAGACGGTGAAAACCCCCCTTCTAGAACAAAACCTGGTGATGGACTAAGAGAGAGATTTTAGACAGGTGGGGAATTGGCAACGTTACAGCCAATCTTCCCGAATCGCACTGTAGTCTACCAGCTAACCTCTCTGGAGGCGCTGCCCATGCTGTGCCAGGTACAAGCGTCCTCAGCGCCTCGGGACTGAAGAGGCCGAGAATCTCATAGGAGGCGCCTGCCTTGGCTGAGCTGAGCCCCCGTTCCCTGTATAAAGGGAAGTGATGCTCACCGGTCCCGGTGAACCATTAACGTTTGGGGGCGGGAGCGACTTCCTGCCTGCTGTGGGACCCGTTGCTCCAGCGTCCGGAGCAGCCTGTGTCCATGGGGAGCCTGGGTGCCCTGCAGGCAGCTCCTGCCTATGGTGGCGAGGCTATTCCAGCCCTTTCTCGGCAGGCAGCAGGGAGAAAGGAGGCTTGCTTCATCCCAGTGGGGCTGGCATGGCCCACCCCCCACGCCTCTTTTAATTGGTTTAATGGTTAACCGGTTAACCAATTAAATGGGATTTTACATCCCTAATATGGGGCCACTTGGACACTGTCCAGAGTCACCTTGGCGGCTTTGACATGACGACAATGGTAGTGAGGTGGGGCCCTTCCAAAACAGATGCCGCTGTATTATCAGCTCTGCCTGGAACATGAAACACTCCGGACAAAGGGGCAGGAAAAGACAGGCTGCAGCAGGAGCAGAACACCATGTCTCCAGGCGAGAGCAAACGGCTCACCTGGGAAGACAGACTCAAAGTACCAGGTCATCACCCCGTAGAGGAAGGTATCGAACAGCATCATGATGGCCGACGTGGTCAGATTAAAGCCATCTTCTTCCAGGGGGCTTTCGAAGAGGTTGTCCCACTGCACGCCGATCCCCTGCTCCTCAAACAAGGCAAAGTACTCGCAGCCAAACCCAAAGGCGACCGGGGACAGCAGGCTCTAAGGGGGCAAGAGGTTCACGCTCGTGAGACCGTTCACCAACTCATCTCTTCACCTTTAGAAATAAACGTTAGCTCAGCCCTCATGCTAACGTCCTGACTCAGAAGTCAAAGGCTGGAATCCTGGCCCTACTGAGGTCATGGGCAAAATTCCAGGTGGAGCCAGCAAGCTCCGGTTGCCTAATGTTGTCCTTCCACAGCCTTCCTGAGTTTGAAGGCTTGTCTCCTACTCAAACATGCCCGGGTCTGTGCTGCACTGAGAAGGGACTGAAACAAGGAGCGGTGGTAGAGAGAACAATGCGGTAGAACAAGTGGGTGTAGGTGTGTATCGACATTCGATTTCGTCAGCCATTTGGTTGCCCAGTTACCCAGTTTAGTGAGATCCCTTTGTAACTCCTTGCAGTGAGCTTTGGACTTACCTGTCTTCTGCAAACTTTGCCTCTGCACATTTTACCCCTTATTCCAGATCATTTATAAATATGTTGAACAGCACTGAAACCAGTACAGATCCCTGGGGAACCCCCTATTACCGTTCTTCGTTCTGAACACTGACCGTTTATATCTACCTTTTGTTTTCTTGTCTTCTAACCAATTACTGGTCCATGAAAGGACCATCCCTCTTACCCTTTGATAGCTTACTTTGCTTAAGAGGTTTTGGTGAGGTACCTTCTCAGGGCTTTCTGAAAGTCCAAGTACGCTATTGCCACAGGATCACCCTTGTCCACGTATTTGTTGACCCATTAAAGAATTCTAATTGATTGGTGAGACATGATTTCCCTTTACAAAAACCATATTGACTCTTCCCTCACAAATCGTGTTCAGCTACCTGGCTGATAATTCTGTTCTATACTATAGTTTCAACCAATTTGCCTGGTACTGAAGTTAGGCTTATCAACCTGTAACTGTTTAATATATCAGTTTGTTCCAAAACCTCTCTAACAGCGCCTCAATCTGGGACAATTCTTCAGATTTTTGTCACCTAAAAAGAATTGCTCAGATGTGGGATTCTCCTTAATAAGTTCCACATTGAAGACCTGTTGCAATAATTTATTTAGTTTCTCCACAAGGCCACATGTTCCTTGACTGTCCAGTGACTGGTTGTTTGGCAGGCTTCCTGCTTCTGATATACTTAAACTTTTTTTTTTTTTTTTTGCTATTAGTTTCTGAGTCTTTTGCTAATTGCTTTTCAGATTCTCCTTTGGCCTGCTTAATTATATTTTCACACTTAATGTGCTAGTGTTCCTACATTATTAGGACTTAGTAGGATTTGACTTCCAATTCTTAGAGGATGCCCTTTTGCCTTTAACCATTTCTTTTACTTTCTGGTTTAACCATGGTGACACTTTTTTGCTCCTTGTACTAGCCTGAGAGGTTCTCAAAAACCTCCATATCTCCATGATGGTCACTCATCCCTCTCTGTACTGTGGTCATGGAAGTGTCCAGAGAGTCCCAGATTTTGATGCCAGAAGCGACCATCAAGATTACTTAGACTGATCACCTCCTAAACACAACCTGTGGAATTCCACCCAGTGCTCCTGGCCCTGAGACTAGATCTGGGCCACTACTGAAGAACGTGGTGCTATTCTGTGGCGACACAGTGCCTCAATGGCAGTTCTTCAGGCTGGTCTGCTGAAGACTGGGGGTTTGGTTTGGTTCCTCCCTCTCTTGCTGCCCAGACGACTAGACCAGAGAAGGGGGGAAGGGAGGGGGTGTTGAGAGCAGCCCCCCCCACCACAATGTGGTGGAGAATCTCTAAAGGGAGGCTCTCAGGTGGACGGGCATCTAGGGGAGGGCAACTGAAGGGCCTGATCTGGTGGCAAATGAGCAATCTCACATGAGCAGCAGTGGGGCAGGATCAGACCTGGCAGCAGCAGACGGGGAACCTCAGGGCTCCGTAAAGAGCATGCTCAAAAGTCCCTTCCCACCCCCAGCTCCTGGATCACTATCAAACCCAGAAAGTTCTCCATCTGTGCCAGCTCAGGTGGCCCTTAGCCGAGTGGAAACCAAAGGGCTCTTGCATACTGCAGCCCCACCCAGCCCAAGAGCCCCCGAGCGCGTCGCTGGCCCCGGCACAATATTCAGCACTCCTCCTCCTCTGCACCTCGCCCCGCACCACTCACCGCGAACATTTTGAGCGAGAAGCCCACGTAGTCCTGCCAGGCGACGCACAGCACGTAGGGCAGGTAGAGGGTGAAGTAAATGATGCCCCCACAGGCTGTCGCCAGGTTGGCCCTGGAGAACATGGTGCTGATGAGGAAGCACTGGGAGATGGTCACCACGGCGAAGACAGAGAGGAAGACAAACACCACGCTGGGGTCGCTGTAGGGCAGCAGGTTCCCCACCTGGGCAAGGAGGAGGCGCGTGTCACAAGTCGCACAGGGCGTGCTCAGAGGCCCTCAGCAGGGCCCGCTTGCAGAATGTAGTTCCATAACTACCCTTGAGTGGCGCTAGCCCCAGCGGGCCCTGGGGACTGTGACACCGCAGGAGGGGCATTTTGCCCTGGGCATGGCTCTCAGCACACTGAGGAACACTGCAGCAATTAGCTAAAGCACCCGTTATTTTAAATCGGTGGTTTCAACCAGGGGTTCCTGGGGGTACATCAACTCATCTAGCTATTTGCCTAGTTTTACAAGCTACATAAAAAGCACTAGCAGAGTCAGCAAACACTAAAAATTTCATGCACTGACTGGCTCTCTACACTCCCCACTGAAGTGTACGTACAATCGTTATATTCCAGTTGATTTACTGTGTAATTATATGGTACGAACGAGAAAGCAGGCCCTTTCTCAGTCACAGCGTGCTGTGGGTTTTGGTCCCATTTGGTAAGCGAGCTGTTGTGAGGTGAGACGAAACGTGCGGGGAGTCCAAGACAAATCAGACTCCAGAAAGAGCTACAGTCGTCTGGGAAGGGGTGTTTTACATCACGTCAGCCTCGTTTTGGAACCCAGAGGCCCTTCCTAGTGAGTCACTGGCCTGATCCAAGTTCCTAGACTATGAATTAACCCCAGAGCTGGTCACCGGGCTGATCGTCAGCCTTACGCTGCCCCCCAGGAAATCAAAGCTGCTGGGCGGGGAGAGAGAGCCACCGCGCCCACCTCACCTTCAGGATCAGCACCAGAAGCCCAGCGCTCATGAGGAGGGGGATGAGGCTGCTGATGAACCAGCTGAACCAGAGGATGCCGTTGTCCAGGCCCATGATGCGCATGGTCTCCTTCAGCCGGGCTTCCTTCTCGTACACGATGCCCTTGATGATCACCGCCACCGAGTAGATCCACGCCAGAGTCATGAAGAGGGGCATGGAGCGGCTCATGACCCGCAGGAATCTGGTGGCAAGAACCGGGCGGGGGGACACTGCTGTGGTCCTTTGCTTGACAGAGAGTCCCCTGGGGCTGCAGGGTGCCCTGCAGGCGCTGAGGAGGAGGAGGATCGTTGCTCCTCATGGTTCCCGTCAGGGCCAGGGCCCCATTGTGCAGAGCAAAGCAGGCAGCATGGGCCATGGCTTTGCCTGCTGTAACCTGGCGGAGCTCCCTGGGGGAGCGAGCAGCAGGGCTGTGCTTTATGACCCTTCCAGACCAGTCCCCAGCCACTTCCAGGCCCGGCTACAACTCAGCAAGCCTGGCTAGTGCAGAGGGAGCGGGGACTCTCTGGCCCCTCCATTGCTGGAGGCCTGGCCAGGCACTGAGAAGGAGTCACGCAGCACTGCCCAGAGGATGCACCTCCCCCACCCACTAACAGCTGGGAGGCACCATCCTCTGCAGGGATATGGACCGATTCCTGCCCCAGCCAGCAGGGGGCGCTGCAGGGAATGGGGTGGAGGAGCAGGCGGATACACAGGGATATGGACCGATTCCTGCCCCAGCCAGCAGGGGGCGCTGCAGTGTGCGAACAGAAGGGGCACCCGATTTCCTGTTGCTCCTGTCTGGCCGGGGGAGAAGGGGGGGCAGAGCGGGTCCTGGCCACTCACACGTCATCCACGTAGCAGGGGTAGGGCATCTGCTGCACGTAGACGCCGGTCTTCTTCTCCGCGCCCGTCAGCGCCCTGATGATTGCCTGCTCCACCACGTCCTGCAGGTACGCGAAGCCGCCCCAGACGTACCGCATGTCTTCAAAGGGGTCGGCACGAGGCCCCGGGTCCCAGTACCTGAGCCAGGGGAACCAAGACCCCCCCTGTCAGACATCCGCTCAGCGTCTCCCCACCCCTCCCCGCAGAAGGCGGCCGGGCAGCACTCACCCGTCCTTAATCTTGTTTGTCCTTTCCACGTTGTCGATGTCCATCCGCAGCTTGTACCTGATGTGAGGCGGCAGCCCCGCGCTGCTCGGGCCGATGTCAGGGAAGACGATGCCGGCCCAGAACTTCCTCTCGTCCAGCAGCTCCATGGACCTGTTGATGAGCCGCACCTCTGTGGCCCGGCCGCCTGCACCTCGGAGCTACAACACCCGGCCATTCCTCTGCAGAGGTGGCACACAAGGGACTCAAAAGAGCCACTGCAGCTTCTACTGCAGTCGCTGAATAATACCTGGGACCAGTGAGCCCTTAGGGGTGGGGCAGGACTGTCACTGGGAACACGCAAGAGCAGAGTTTTTTCAAAGCTGGAGGTCTGAAGTTAGGCTGTTCCTGCACCTCGGAGCTACAACACCCGGCCATTCCTCTGCAGAGGTGGCACACAAGGGACTCAAAAGAGCCACTGCAGCTTCTACTGCAGTCGCTGAATAATACCTGGGACCAGTGAGCCCTTAGGGGTGGGGCAGGACTGTCACTGGGAACACGCAAGAGCAGAGTTTTTTCAAAGCTGGAGGTCTGAAGTTAGGCTGTTCTGCCAGTACATTGGTACCTCCACAAGCAGGCTAAGGAGGACTCTTTTCAGACCCCTGATTTTTTAAACTGTGGCTGCAGGGTTTTATGTCTTTCTTGACCCAAATCTCCTAGGAGCACTAATGGTGCGAAGCACAACACTGCAACCCCCCCATAAGCATGAGCCTTTTGCAATAGGACTCTCTGAGCCCCGTGGCCCAGAGCACGGCTTGGCCGTGTTCTGCTGGATGTACATCTGCAAAAGCGCTCTGCTGTCCGGGGCAGCGCGGCCGTTATCGGACCTGCGCGTAGGCTCACCTCCATGAAGCGGGAGATGGTTAGCACAGCTTGGTCGGTCTCATTGAAGGCATCCTTCCAGGTGTACGCGGAGCCGTTCACGGATTGAACGTCCTCCGGGGACTTTGCCAGGAACAGGGACACATCTTGAACCGTCCAGTTGGAGCCGCTCAAGTGAGCGTCCCAGAGGTCTTTGCTCTTCAGCAACGACTGCAAGAGGGAAATAACGGCCGTTAGGGGTTCCCCCCAGCCAGGCAGAGATTCTACCCTTTCCCCTTGCACCTGGGAGCCCAACACTGGACAAGGACCAAGAGGGGAGAGTTTGCTGAACACGACTTCCCCGCTGCATGTCCTGTTACCGATTCTGCCAGAGCCTGGGACTTCCACCGGAGGAGCCGCATTCCCCGAGTGCAGCATCGCCCTGACTGCAGTGCGACGGGATGAAAACTCCCAGGGGAAGAGAACATTCGGGGTTGTCGCAGAATGGGGGGTATCACACGTGGCCTGGCCGAGGGGCCTTGTGTGGCAACGTGTTAGAAGACTGAAGGCTACACCCAGGCTAAACTGTAATCCAAACAGGAATCTCCTAATCTCTCTCACTCCCTACAGCAGTGTTTCTTAAACTGTGTTCCAGGGAACATCGGCGTGCCACGAGGCAGTCGGAGATGTGCCACGGAAAACAACAGATTTCAAAATGGCCGCCTTTTTTTTTTTCTGCTCAACAAAACCTAAAAAAAACAAAACCTCCTAAAAAAAACATTCTTTGGTGTTCTTCGGTCTTAAAAAGTTTAAGAAACACTGCCCTACAGGCCTGTTCTCTCTACTGCAGGTGGAGGGCAGCAGAGAACCCCACACAGCCTGCGTAAGGACACAGTAAAATACTGTCCCAGACTCACAGGCACATTTGAGAACAACAGTTCTCCAGCGGGTGGCAGCCTTGCTCAGGTCTCTGGAAAGCGAGAAAAGTTGCCAAAAAAACAAGCCAACCAAACGAAAAAGCAGTCACTGGAAAGCAGAGAAGCGCAGAAAAAGAAAGAATTTTTTTTCCAGATAATCGGTGGCTGCTAAGAGCTGCCGACACCTTCCAAACATTTCGTTGATTTGAGCAGAGACAAGGGGAGGGGAGGATTGAACGTAGCTGGTGGCTGCTAAGAGCTGCCGACACCTTCCAAACATTTTGTTGATTTGAGCAGAGACAGGGGGAGAGGGGATGATTGAACGTAGCTAGGAATTCGGTTCCCAAGGTGCTAAGTGTAAGCAGGCCGACCCTGGGTGTATTTACTGTACGTTATAGTCTTCTTCAGCCAGCTACAGTTATAGTACACTGTTGCTCCGGAAGCGAAGAGGCTACACAAGGAAAAATTACTAGCTGAACAATCTGCTGTGAGTTTTTACGCTCCTACTGTCCCTTTATTTCCAAGTTCTCTCACAGGCAGAGGGGTTAATAATACCAAAGGAAAGGGACTATCCCAAACATGCAGGACAAATAATAAAGAGGTGCTAAGTGTAAGCAGGCCGACCCTATGTGTATTTACTGTACGTTATAGTCTCCTTCAGCCGGCTACAGTTATAGTACACTGTTGCTCCGGAAGCAAAGAGGCTACACAAGGAAAAATTACTAGCTGAACAATCTGCTGTGAGTTTTTACGCTCCTACTGTCCCTTTATTTCCAAGTTCTCTCACAGGCAGAGGGGTTAATAATACCAAAGGAAAGGGACTATCCCAAACATGCAGGACAGATAATAAAACACAAGGACGAGGGCTGTTAGACATGCCCTCAGCGTGACAGCATACTGACCCGGATCAGGTCCATCTCTGCACTGCTTTCCATGAACGTCCAAATCTTCGGGCTGATCTCCTGCCACATCCCTCCTAGATCCCGGAACACACCCAGCTCCTGGAAAGTCCTGTTCACCTGCCGGCAAAGGGGAAGGGTTATTCCCAAACCTCAGCACCGCAGGGCGGAGCAGCCATAGGCCAGGTGGGCAGTGCGCTACAAATTGCACTGCCCGAGTGGGAACAGCAGCACTACAGCTACTGCACAGAAAGGAATCGTGCGTTTGAAGGGAAAATAGAACAAGCTGGTACACTGGTGTGTCCGGAACATTAACGCCTTTGCGGGCCACGTTCTCTGGCTGGCTCTCTCATGGGTGTGCATGGGAAGGAGCGTTCCAAAAGCCTGCCCACCCCCCAATCCCACTTTCCGCAGTAGGGCCATCCAAGAAAGCCCAAGGACCACTGCTTCCCAGGCTGCCAGAGAACATCGGCAGCATAAGAGCCTCTGTACCAGCTCTGCACTCCAGGACAATCACCTTTGTACTTGAGGGTTGCCGTGTGAGCGGATTGAACCAGCAGTAGGGCCACATTAAACCGTCTCCGTAAACAACACTGCGATTTGCATGGACGGGTGTGGCGGGGGGGTGGTGAGGGGGAAAAGAAGGGGGGGGAGCCATGTTAGAGGCGCAAGTATCCACCAGCTCCCAGGCGCTTACTCCCAGGCCAAGGTGTCACCCACACAAGGCTGGATTAAGGGGGGAGCTAGCCGGGCAGCTGTCCGGGGTGCCAACCTATGGGGGGCGCTGATTGAAGTGGTAAGGGGAGCCGCGCGCCTGCTGTGCAACTATGGCTTGGTCCAGCACTGCTCCCACATGTTGCATTTTAAAAAACGGAAACCTCTGGGCCTCAGCTACAAACCCCGAGCTGCACAACTTGACCAGGAACCCAACCCACATCACTGCGGCAGGAATCACCCCGTGTCCACAGTGAAAACCAGGCATCCGTGCCCAAGGACTGCTTGCTAATTACAAAGCCCGGTTCAATCAAAACAGCACATCGAAGGCCACATTTTCCAAGGCTCAGTAGCCCTAAAATGGGGGTCAGCTTTGCAGCAGGGCTCAGCTCCCCATGTGCACCCACGTGCCGGTGAAGAGGAAGCGGAAGCCTCTAAGAACCCTCGCACGTGTAACGTGAACGGGCCGGTTACTTACTTGTAGAATTGTCATAGAAATTAGCTGCATCCTCCTCGGTGCTGTTGCCTCCGAACAGGGCTTTGTAGTTGTTGTCCTCATACCAGTTGAGAGATTTGATTTTCAGCCCTCCTCCTTCCGGATGGCCACACACAATGCGCGATACCGCTTGGTAGATCTGGGTAGAGGAGCTTGTGGCATTCACATTGGTCAGAAACATCACCTCCTGCCGCATGTCGCTCCAGCTTTTCATGCTGGCCAGCTGCAATGCACAAGGGGAGGGACACAAAGGGCTTGTGTGTTTCACTTGCACCGAACAGATATTTTGATTGCGGAGCATTTGCCTCCAGAATCACCTGATCTAACGGAATGAACCATCTATGTGAAACAGACCTTTGAAATGCACAAGGGCACTATTGGGGGAGGGGGACTTGCACTCAGGAAATGCCCCATGTACGCGGCCAAGTAGGGACACTGACTTTTGTTGCACCATCTCCTTTATTCTGCATTTTTCACTGACCCTACACACAGTCCTTAGCCCCTGGCCTCTTGGCTCCTTCTGGCTGCAACACCATTCACATTTCAGCACGAGCCCTTGTTCTGGCTGCACAAGGGGGGGGGGAGGAGGGAGAGAATGAGCCATAAGGAGATGTGGGGAAACAACAGAGTCAGACTAATCAGACGCAGCGATACAGGGCCCCGTTCTCTGCTAGTGTAGAAGGGTTTTCTGAAATCCATCAGCAAGCAGCTAAATTACACAGTAGCTAGAGATGTGGTGATAGCCGAGTTGGTCCCAGGAGGTGGGTGAGATAATATATTTTATTGGCCCTACGCCTGATGGTCAGAGAGAGACGCTTTTGGAGCTATACATAAGTGCTCTGAAGAAGAGTTCTGTGTAGCTCAAAGGCTCATCTCTTTCACCCACAGATGTCAGTCCAATAAAAGCTATTACCTCACCCACCTTTTGTCTACAATAACCAGAAGGCATAATTGCCACCCAAATTCCTCCTGACCTGTCAACAGACAGCTGCCCTCATGTTCTGCATTGCGAGGCAGCATGCTAGCCTGGTCCTGACATGGTCACGTCAATCCGTATTTGCAGTCTGAACCCACGAGCTCCAGAGTCCGAGTCAGACAAGTATTCAAATGGGGCGGGAGGGCTGAACAAAGTAATCAAGGCCTTTCTGTGCAGTGACTGGCCTTTTAACGCAATGGCCATCTTGCGCCCCTCTTCCCTGCCCCCTCTCCTCAAGTGCTGATTTGACATTTTCACACACGGGTGGAAACACATAGTTCTAGCAGCAAAGCCAAGCCTAGACTTAACCTTCGAGAAGGGCCAGATTTTGTGAAAGTTCTGGGCACCCAATCAGACTGCTTTGCCTCAAGTTTGGACACCCAGAAAATCACTACTCACTTTTGCTGACCTTGGGGTATAGGCACATTGATCGTGCAGTCTGGGAGGACTCATTTTATACCACTGATTGGTAAAGAAAGAGATTAGATGAATGAAGCAGACAAACTAGATTCAGCTGAGCAGTAATGCCGGCAATTCGATTTACTCCACTCTTACAGCTCATTATATTTTCCTCTGGGAGTGTATAGGGTGTCCCCGCTATAAGTCGCCCTGGAGCACATCCGTTCCGCACTAACATCGTTGAGACTTGCGGGAAACAATGCGTTATAAGTCCTCCCGTTCCCCACACTTAAGTCATGCACAAGCCCCTCCTCCCAATTTGTGCAAATGGAAGTCAGCCGCGGGAAAAAAATTCCCCGCTTTAAGTTGTTTCGCTATAAGTCCAAGTTTTTTGGAACATATTTTGGACTTATAGTGAGGATGGCCTGTATTTCCTGTCTACGGGTTTGTCTGCTCTACAGACTCACTCGGCTATCCCTCTGAAGCTTATCTACTCACTGTCTTTTTTTCTTCCTCCCCTTCCATTTTTTTCCTTTTGCTTCCCTCCCCCCCCCCTTATTTATCCTTGGATCTGGACTTCCAACACTCCAGTCACCTGAAGAAGTGGGCTGTGCCCACAAAAGCTCATGATACCATCTACGTGCTTTGTTAGTCTTTAAGGTGCTACTAGACTATTTGTTGTTTTTTAAGTTGTTCCTGTTACAGACCAACTTGGCTACCCCTCTGAAGCTTCTACACAAAGCTGATCGGGCAGCGTAAACTCTGTTGGTACTTTTGCTGATAAAACATTTCCATCCCCTATAAGTGGGGTTTGCACTGTCGACAGGAGAGCACTCCTGCCAAGAACAAGCAGTTTACACTGCACTTGCGCAGCAAAACTCGTCCTTCTGGCTGGGATGGGGGAGAACTGAGAACAACAAAAGTTGTGTCATTCAATCAGCAATGTAGACAAAGTCTGAATGTCTCTTTTTTCTGACAAAACACCGTGAGGCAATCTACTTCCTCCTTTTTGGCCTGGGGTCCTACAGAAAACATGCTGCCAGAACCACCAAGCCCTGGTCCCAATATGCCACTGCAGGAGCAGAGTAACCAATAGGCCTCCGTTAAGCATGGAGATGCCAGAAGCCATACCAGGTAAGAAGCCAGCTGCCGTGTGTCACCTATCACGGAGGTTTCAGATGTACGTGGCTAGCTGACTGCTCCGTTGCGATAGCATTAAGGGATGGTGCTAATCTCCAGAAAGCAGCAATGCATATCCCATATCTGAGAGCAGCATCTAGTTTACAAAGTTCTACTGAAAGCACTGCCAACCAGGGAGCGTGGCTCTTTGCAGTGCATTCTCCGTTTACCGCGCTGTGCATGGGACTTTGCGCCCTTTGCCCTGACAGAGACAAGGCAGGCAGCGAGTCTGCATCCGTGCAAAAGGAATGACAATCCGCTGAAGTGGAGAAATGAGCATGTGTTTAAGAGCTGGACTAAAAACTCAAATGGCAAGTCCCAGCCGGATGGAAGTGGCTTTACAAGGCTGAAAACAGGCTTCCTAGAGGAAACACTGAGAAGCAACATGGGCTAGGGCAATGGACTAAGACTCATGGGTCAGTTCCCAGCTCTGCCACTGGTCTGGTGTGTGACCTTGGGCAAGTCACTTCTCCGTACCTCAGTTTCCCCTCCAACCCCTTGTCTTTTTAGACTGCAAGCTTTCTGTGACAAGAACTCTCTCTTACTACACGTATGTAAAACCCCTGGTCTCAGAAGGGGCCTAGGGGGTATAACTGAACACTGCAACACAGAATCTGAGGCAGGCCCACGTCAGAGGACACAGGCTTGGGCTGCAGGGCTATAAAATCTGTGGCACGGACATCTAGGCTTAGGCTGGAGCCTGGCTTCAGGCCAGCTGAAAGGGACCCACAGCCTGGGCTCCAAACAGCTACAGCAGCTTTACAGCCCTACAGCATGAGGCAAATCCACTGCCTGCAAGTGCAAGTCAGCAGACATGGGCCACCGGGGCTGTGTAATTGCATTGTAGACATACCTTAGATGCTACCGTAATACAAACAAATAATAGGTCAATGATAAATCAATCTAGCAGACCCTCCCACTAAAAAAAAGAAAACCCAAAACCCTTGTGCGAGCAGATTTGTTCAGTTTTCAGGGCACTTAAGACCTTTAAAATAACAGCAGCCACGTGGAGAATTAAGTCAATTTATAAACACCGAGGCTACTTTTCAGGGTATGGGGCTTGTTCTCCACTGCAGCCTCAGGCTGAACTGGAAACTCGCCCAAGAACGGGGATCCAGACTTTACTCCTCTGTTCAGAGCCAGAGATCTAGTTCAGTCCCTTTCCTAGAAAGACAAGTGGCTGCGGGTGCAAGTAAGAGTCTTTTCCTCTCTCGCTCCACTGCTGGCTGGACAAGGGAATGAATCGTCCATCCCCATTTGTCACGCAGCAGTGGGCACCCCAGACAATGCAACGTAACTCTCGGTCAAGCAGTCTGGGAGGCGAACGCTGCAGAGAAAAAGCCACTTTTGTTTGCACTTCGAAGAAGGGAAAAGAGAGAGCCGCCTACTCAGGACAGCTGCCAAGCAAAAGGCACGTTACTCAGGCAGCTTTCAGCCACATCAGCAAAGAGAACATCACATGGTTGCAATTATTTTTACCACAGACAAAAAAAAAGAAAGAGAGGCCTGAGGTCTGTCACAGGAAACAGCTGTAACCAGACCCCAAAGCAAGCGCTTAGGACAGCCCCTTCTGCTAACAGCTACAGCTTTGCCTTGATTTCAACCCAACGCCAATCTTGGAATCATCCCGTTAATTTCATCCTAAATGGGAAGCCCTGCAAGTCCTAGGATTCAGCAGGGAACATGTCCCAGGAAGAGTGGGCGGGTGTGAAGCCAGCTTCTAACACCCTCCTCTCTACGGAAATAGAGCGTTCAGTAACCTGAGGTGAACCCAGCTTTGTCCTGAGCAAAGAGGTTACTCTCGGTCATGGCCGCAGGGCTTTCTTTCCCTGCCGTGCAGAGAGAAGAATAATGGGAGAGAGCGGGTGGCATTGTTTAGTTGAGATTAAACCACGGCTTCTCCAAGAGAGAAAACAACCCCTTAGCCTAATCACAGCCCCCCAGAGTCCGTACAATTGGAGCCGGAGTCAGATAGTCTAAATAGCAATCATACTGGAGCTACCACTGAGCCACAGTCATGGATCAGGGCCTCTCTCACAGAGCAAAGACGGTCCCTGCTCCAAGGAGCTAGCTCTGAAAGTAGCAGATCTGGGGCGTGGTCCAGTTCTAAGCACCTTTTTTTTTAAAACCATTTCACCTACAACAAAGTATTTGCTGCTGTAAAAACGGTCATTTCCCCTTGCAAATGATTATGTTTTATTTGTGTTCTGACACAGTCTGGAGGGGCCCCAAGCCGGGATCAGGGCCCCGTTGCGCTAGATGTTGTACAAATATAGTCGAGACAAGCCACAAATACGTAACTGTTGGAGAGTCCAGAGCTAGTCAATTACAGTATCTCCCAACTCTCCCCCTGGCATCACTCTCAGGCCAGCTGCTGAAACCAACTGGCATCACCCCCAGAGCGGCTCATATCTGAGAGCAAAGATCATTACACGGACTCGCGCCCATGGGTCCTGCCCAGTGCGCCGCAAGCGCACAGGGCGTATCACAGAAGATATTCAGAGTTCCTCCTCCAGGAACAGCCGAAGCCCAAATCTTTAGCTGCCTGGCTCCAAGGACCACAAGTTGAATATGAGTCAACAGTGTGATGCTGTTGCAAAAAAAGCAAATATGATTCTAGGTTGTATCAACAGGTGTGTTGTAAGCAAAACTCGTGAAGTCATTCTGCCGCTCTACTCTGCACTAGTTAGGCCTCAGCTGGAGTACTGTGTCCAGTTCTGGGCGCCACATTTCAAGAAAGATGTGGAGAAATTGGAAAGGGTACAGAGAAGAGCGACAAGAATGATTAAAGGTTTAGAGAACATGACCTATGAAGCCAGGCTTCATGAACTGGGCTTGTTTAGTTTGGAAAAAAGAAGATTAAGGGGGGACATGATAGCGGTTTTCAAATATCTAAAAGGGTGTCACAAGGAGGAAGGAGAAAATTTGTTCCTCTTGGTTTCTGAGGACAGGACAAGGAGTAATGGGCTTCAAGTGCAGCAGGGGAGGTTTAGATTGGACATTAGGAAAAAATTCCTAACTGTCAGGGTGGTCAAATATTGGAATAAATTGCCAAGGGAGGTGGTGGAATCTCCCTCTCTGGAGATATTTAAGAACAGGTTAGATAGACATCTGTCAGGGATGGTGTAGGTGGAGCTTGGTCCTGCCTTGAGGGCAGGGGGCTGGACTCGATGACCTCTTGAGGTCCCTTCCAGTCCTATTATTCTATGATTCTATGACTTCTCTGGGAGTTGTGGGCACAAAAGGTGCCCCACAGTAGGGCTTATCTTTATGGAAGGGAAAAAAGCTGGAAGGAAGGTGCCATTACAGAGCAGCTTTGCGCTTTAGGAAAGTCAATTTCAGACTAGAAAAGGTGAGGGCAGAGAGAAATTCTTCCTCCTGATGGCAGAAGGGAGCCACTTACCTCTTTCATGAGCTTCCCCAGGCTCTCCACTAAGGTCTCCATGGCTCCTGAGGAGGTGATTTCTTTCTGTAACAGAAAAGAAAAATAGAAACTTGGGATCCCCACAAAAAAACCTACCAGATTCCAGGATACACAGGAGTTCCCTCTATTTTTTTTTAATTCGTGTGTGGAATAAATGTTGTTGTGTGCACCCAGGCATGTGTGGGTGTGCACCACCAGTAGACATACAGCCTGCTGGCAGTGGACACTCTGTTAATCAGCTGGCCAGCATTTGAATCACTCCTGAGTGGCCGCCCAAGTGCTCAGCTTACAGGGAACGCTGATAGGGAGGAGGGCAGAGGGGAAAGGGCACTGGGCTGTGAATCAGGAGAACTGAGACAGTTCCCAGCTCAGCCACAGACGCCCTCTGGTTCTTCTTCCATCAGTGGTGGATAATATTTCCCACTTCCTCACAGGGCAGGAGTGAAGACAGCGCCCTGTGAGGGGCTCAGGTACCACAGGACTTAGGGCCATACACAAAGCACATAAGTAAAACAACGCCAGCCTTCCACCTGCATGCCCACATTCCACTGAGAGGGCGATCCGGGTTCCCGACTGCCTGACGCCTACGTGGGTGCAGCGCCACCCCTTCCCCTCTGTGCTCCGGCTTGAGTAGCCGGAGTGAGACCTTGGGGTTTTAATATTAAACCAAGCGGGTCTATTTTATTGTAAGGCAACCCATTTCCATAAGTAATCAATGACCCAAAGCCTGCTGCAGTGTGAATGCAAAAAACCCCAGAAGTTCCAAATGCCAAAGAGTGGATGGCGATCACTTTCAGGAAGCTTTGCTTTATGTTCACAACCAATCCTCGCTGCATTCAGAACCCATCGTAGCCCAGCGCCTGTCACGTTCTCTCTTTCCCGCTAGCCCCGGAATAACATGGGGGCTTGGTGTTTGTTTTATTTCTGGATACAGCAAGGAATGATTTGCCAGAAAACATTGCATCTCAAATGCAAGACATTTCACATACGTTTCCAACAACTTGGACACCCTCTCCCTTTTGGCCCGAAGACTGTTTTCTGAAGTTGCACATTTGCAGCACGTTAAGATGTTACGGCACTGAGACACAATCGTAAGAACTGCTCTTCCCTCACAAGCCCCTGTTCTTAGGCATTTCTGAGAAAAAAAATAACCTTTGGGCTAAAATTTCTTGTGCCTATCCTCCCCCGGGGGAGGAACTGTCGGGTAAAAATTCACTTGGCCTATTTAAATCACGAGAGGGTGACAGAACAGCTGGCTAGAGATTTAGCTGATGTAAACAGGCAGAGCACAGTCACACTAGGGATGTAAATACCCCTTCAAAATGACACCCAGTTAAACAATATCATTTTAATCATTTAACCGGGGTCCAGATAGGGTAAGGGCTCCTCCAGCCGGTCAGGGTCTTACCCCATCACGCTGCAGGCGGGGGATGCTAATCCAGCCCAGTCGGACCTCCTGCATAGCATCCCAGGCTAGAGCTGCAGCTTAGCTGGTTACAGGGGTGATGCTTACCAGGTAACTGGTTAATTAGTTAACCCTTTACATTCCTAATTCACTCTAGTGTAGATAACTTAAAAAAGAAAAACCACAAATGCACGCGCACACACCGAGTGAAGGAAGAAAAGCAATTCCAATTTGCCACAGATTTATGGAATGCTTTTCACACACGGGCCACGAACCATAAACTCTCCAAGTGTGCTAACATTCTAACAGTGTGCTCGGATGCCTGGCCCTACCGACCGGCATACGATGTACATACACGCCCCTCCGGAGCATCACACGTGGAGACAGACACAACCCAGCGTAACTTCATTACAGAACAGATCAGGCCTCTCTGTGCTAGGCACAGGACAGCCTCTCGCTCTGACGGGCTCTACACAGGCGAGATGGAGGAAGCATGGGAACAGCCTAGGAATTCTGTTGGTGTCAATGGAGTTGCTCCGTATTCACACCCGTATAGTTGGGCAGAGATTCACACCCCATTAGCCTGCCGTCCTTACACAGGCAAGCCTTTTACAGACATCACTGGGAGTTAGCTGAAGGCAGACAGAGCTTGAGTGACCTGCACTCCAGTTAACCTCTTGAGTTAGCCCATCTCACACCAGGAACATGGGGTACAGATCACAGCTGGAGGATTCTCTGCATCTTGGGGTCTTCAAAGTATTTGAAGGCTTCAATATCTGATATATAGGTGAGAGGATTATTCTAGGAGGGGTGGGTGAGATTTTGTGGCCTGTACTGTGCAGGGGGTCAGACTAGATGATCATAATGGTCCCTTCTGACCTTAAAGTCTATGAGGAACAGAAAAAATGAATAAAAACGTTAACCGAATAACCAATAAAAATTCTGTCGGTTACATCGTTAACTGCTTCCGGGTCTGGTGCCCCCAGTGCCACAAGGCTGCTGGTGTTTCTGGCATACTGGGCCCTGAGGGGTTGCCGGCCCATGAAGAGTTTAACTGGTGCGGCTAGTCAATAGCTACTAAACAGTATTCCAGCTGGTGTGTCCACACGCGTGCAGCACCCCACTGGTGTGGCGCCAAGCCTTCTGCGGCCATCTCCCAGAGCTTTATGTGCTGTAGCTGCTCTGGGAGTTCTCGCTGGGCACATCTAAACTATGGGTTGGTTTTTTTTTCTAAAAGAGGATATGCAAATTCCCTGGGAATTTGCATATCTTCTTCAGATCTCACTTTCAAAAGTGGGTCTTTTGAAAGTGAAAGTAGTCTGGACACAGTTTTTTTCAAAAAACAAAAAAACCCTTTTTCGAAAAAAAACTCGCATATACCTCCTTTTAAACGTTTTTCGAAAAAGGTTTGTCTGAAAAAACCCCACGTCCAGACTACTTTCACTTTCGAAAGACCCGCTTTTGAAAGTGAAATCGGAAGAAGATATGCAAATTCCCACAGAATTTGCATATCCTCTTTTGAAAATATAAATGTAGTCTAGACATAGCCTCTCGGTGAATTGAGGGAGAACGTCTCTCTCCTTCCGGGAAAGGGGGAAGATGGCAGGACAGCATCAGAGGCGGGCAGTCCTTGAGTAGAGCCAGCTGCTCTGCAGAGTAGTGGTGTTAGCAGCTGATGAGTTGCTCAGCTGAACTTTGGCCTTTACCCCATCTCAGGCCAGTCTCCAAGACTGAATAGCACCACTGCATTTCAACGACAGGCCTGGGTTATCAGACAGGATGCGAATTAGAGGCGACGCTGGAGTTATAACTTGAGCTAACTTTGCTGGGATGTAAGCCCTGAGTACGGGAGACAGGATCCAGGCGTGTGCTTTTCACATTTCCCCCACAATGGATGCGAACGGGCAGCTCGCATTCTGAATCACGAGATTTTTAGCACATAATTTCTGCACAGCATGCATTAAAATAAGGTCTGCGTTTGTTCAACAGTTGCGTACATGTGGCCTCGCCCCGCATGTGATACATGAGTGGTTGCTTCTCCAAAGTAAATGTGGCTTGTGAGTCATATTTACTTTGCAGTGGGAAACACAATTGGTCATAAACATGATTTCAGAAAGGAACTGGTAGACAAATGATGGCATTTGGAATGTCTATTATTATGTCCTAACAACAGAAGCCCTGTGCTATTGTTTACAGGAAGGGGGCTCTCCTGTGGCTTCGTTTCAACGCACTAAAAAGGACACAGCCAGCCACGGGTTCAAACGACGCTTGTCTTTATATCGAAGAAAAACTTTTCATGGGCAGCTTCCCTCGCTGCGTTCAAACGGCTGGAATGTCCGTGTGAGTCAGGAGTCAGTTTGGGAAAGAGCAATGACAAAATGCCACCCACCCACGTCATTAGGAGAGACAAAGACAATTGCTTTTTGTGGGCCTCCCGGCTCCCACGTGGCCTCGTGCCACAGGCGAGTGACGGCATGGCTACAGCTCGCAGCCCGACCCAGAGCTATTCCTTGGGGCTGCCGAGCGCCACAGAGCTAAACCCCTGAACATAACGCACGTGCCAGCCGCCTCTCTGTGCTGAATATTCAACTGGGAAAGATCTAAACAGAGGAAAGTTCTTCCAGACAAGGGAAAGGCCCCATTTTAACTTGTGCGGCTCCTGTCTCGCGGGGAAATCCCCTCACAGGGATCGCTTTTCATTCCGTGAAGTGGAAGGTTGGTCCCACATGTAAGTGGCTGGGGGAATCCATCCAGCATCCATCTCAGAGGATTAATTGAGGGCAAGGTCTCTAGATTCCCCCCTCCCTGCTATGGCTGCCTGCAGTCCCTGACTGGCATAGCTCCTTGTTACTGTGAGGTCTCTCTCCTAAGGCTCTGCAAACTCTCTGTCCATCGCGGGCATGACTCGCATACAGAGCGAACAATGGCTGCGCATGGCAGGTCTCTGCCATTACCCCGAAACACCCCTAAAACAGGAAGGGCTTACATGATTTCTACAGCATCATGCCCAGGGGTGTTGCTTTCCTTGGGCAATGGACGGCCATGCAATGAGGGCCTTTGGCGGGCCTGCCCAAATTTGGGGCTCTGTGCTGACCCCTCCCGGAGTCCAGTCCGCATTCCTGTCAACACCAGTTTGCCTAAGTGCGTACATAACCTGGAGCATGTTTAATTCATCCTCAGGGATGTGAGGAGACGCCGCCATCGCCACGTGTATGGAGCGGAGGTTCAGAGACATTTCTGTTCTGGGAATCGGCTCTCCCGGCTCACTCCTGGTCCCCGCTGCTGAGCGTCTGCTTTTTAAACGTGTTAAGAGCCAGGCGGCTCTTACTACATTGAAAAGGCAGATCCCAGCGGGGTCAGCTCCCCGGGCCAGGAGCCAACCCCACCGCAGCTGCAGTTTCCCCCCTTATCGACTAATCGAGTAGCCGATGGAAATTCCGACTATTTGATTAGCTGATTACCTGCAATTTAACAACCCTACTCTGGAGTGGGACTGGGACTGAGGGGCTAGGGGAGCTGGAGGCAGCTCTAGGCTTGAGGTGGGGGTTGGGATGGACCCAGGGATGAGAAGTTTGGGATGCAAGAGAGGGCTCTAGGTGAGGGAGAGGCTCAGGCCAGGGAGGGGGTAGGGTGCAGGAAG